GAGGCGCCGATCCTAGCTCTTCCCGACGACTCGAAACCATATCACGTTGTTTGCGACGCGAGCGACTTTGCCATCGGCTGTGCGCTGATGCAGTTTGACGACGAAGGACGTGAACGGGTCGTCAGCTATCAGTCTCGACAGATGAAGCCAGCGAAGCGCAACTATCCTGTCCACGACAAGGAGCTTCTCGCGATGCGCTACGCTCGGATCAAATTCAGAGTGTACTTACTCGGCGAGAAAACCTTCGCAGTGTATACCGATCACGCATCGCTGAGGACAGCGATGAAGAGCTCTCATCTTTCCCAGCGAATGGCTCGCTGGTTGTCGTTCTTCTCCGAGTATAATTTCGTGGTTCACTACAAACCCGGCAAGAACAACATCCTTGCCGATGCTCTGTCTCGTCGTCCAGATTACGACCCACGCGATTCGCTGGGTCGACAACCGCTGCATGATGAAGACGACGAAGACAACTGTGCTATGTGCTTGGCGTCGGGATTGAACCTGACGAGCGTGTCTTCAGAAACCCCACTCCGCGACGAAATCCGGACTGCGTATGAATTCGATCCGGTCTATTCGAGTATTCTGGAACATCTCCGCTCGCCCAGTAAGAAGACACTGAGTGCTTTGTCCCGCTCCACACGCCATCAGATCGATAGGTATCGGATTGAAGACGGGCTGTTAGCGTACAGCATCGATCGCTTCGATGCTTCGCGTGTAGTGGTCCCCAACGACCCTGACTTGCGCTCGCGAATCATCCACGAGTTCCACGATATCCCCCTTGGCGCTCACTTGGGCCGTGAGAAGACATTCGCCGCAGTGTCGCGCGACTTTTACTGGCCCCACATGTATAAGTGGGTGCGCAAGTGGGTGAGGACCTGCGAGATCTGCCAACGCGTGAAACCGTCCGCGTCATCGCAGGCTCCCCTGCGTCCCTTACCAGTGGCCACCGAGGCATGGCGCTCGGTGTCGATGGACTTCGTCTTTGGCCTCCCACTGGACTCCGCCGGGCGCTCCGATGTCCTGGTATTCGTCGACAGGTTCAGCAAGATGGTTCACCTCATCCCGGTCCCGGATACGATCACCGCGGCCGATACCGCGGTGCACTTCGTGGATGCAGTCTTCCGTCATCATGGCATGCCCGAGTCTATTGTTTCGGACCGCGATCCGCGGTTCACGTCTGCTTTCTGGACGAAGCTCTTCGAGCTATCAGGGACAAAGCTGCTGATGTCGACGGCTGCTCATCCGGAGACGGATGGCCAAACCGAGCGAGTTAATCGCGTCCTTGAGGACGTACTTTGCAGCTATGCGACGTCGTTCACGAGCTGGAGCTCTTTTCTTCCGCTTGCTGAGTTCGCGCTGAACAACGCGGTTCACGCGTCGACTGGCCTGACTCCTTTCTTTGTCAACAACGCTCGACACCCTCGCGTTTCAGCTCTCCTCGCCGTGGGCCGTCCCACGGCGCCGTGTGGCTCCACTCTGGGTGGGGGTGAAAGAGGCGACAACCACTTTGTGACGACTCCGGTTTCGAACCCACAACCGGTTGGCGACAAGCCTTCTACGCCAACACCGGTAATGGACCCTCCAACCGGTTTCCATACCGTGTGCCGACTCCTCCTCGAGTGCAGCCTCATCTTCAGCGACTGTTAGCGCAGTGACACACGCCCAGGGCAGGAAGGACCTGACGACTCCCCGCGACGCGGTGTCCCCTCTCGTTTCGTGGACGAATCGTGCCCTGATCAGTCCTGGCACCGCTAACGCGGTGTCTCCATCAGCGAACTACGCGCCGAAGCAACCGACACGTCCGGTTGATAACACCGCTGTCTCAGACTTCCTCCTCCAGCGCCAAACAGTCGCCCGATACGTCCGCGACGCGCTGCAGACGGCGGTCGACAAGCAGAAGGAAAACGCGGACAAGCGCGGCCGCAAACACACAGTAAAGTTCGCGACAGGAGATCGAGTGCTCCTGTTGACTTCAAGAATCAGAGACTCTGCCGTAACCAACCTCGGCGCGAGTAAACTCGCACCGCGCTTTATTGGGCCATTTACGGTGACTAAGGTTATTGGCGAGGCTTACACACTGGATATCCCTACGTCGCTGCGGCTACATCCGACGTTCTACGTCGGACGACTCAAGAAATACCTGCCCGCTACGATTCCTTCTTCGACTCAGTCTTCTGAGCCGCCGGCACATATAGCGGCCGCCCCGCCCGACGCGCGCGCCGAGCCATCGCGCCATTCACACCAGGCGCCTGCTCCACCGTCCCGCTCTGCAGACTACCATGTACCGCGCGCTCAAGAAGCCTCACACGCGCTCAAGAAGCCTCACGCGCGCCAAGAGTTCCCAATTCGACTGACGAGTCTCAGTCGCAGTCCTCACGGCCTTTGCAGCCGCGTCCTGAGCCTCCTCCGCCTCCTGGTACGCCGTCCAGAAGCTCCCCGCGAGATCTTCCTCGCGGCTCCCAACCAGAACGTCAGTCGTATCAGCGGGACGGTCCCCCGGCGATTGTCGACTCAGCTGGCGAGATCCGCTGGATAGTCGAGAAGATTGTCGATCACGAAGACCCGCCCCGTCGGTCGGGGCAGCGCCATATGTCCACCAGTCGCACGGCTCCCGCCGCGCGCCGCTATAGGGTACGATGGCTTGGCTTTCCGGCGGACCAAGATACGTGGGAGCCCCGCGCGAATCTCCTTCGCGATGTCCCGGATGTGATCCAAGAGTACGACTCCAGTCTTCCTGCGCCGGAGAGCGCCGCGAATAATCACGCGGCGGCCGAGAACGAGATCTCCAGTCTGCGCGACCACGCGAACGTGATCGAGAACGACGCTGCTGGCGATCGCGCGAGCGCGACCGAGAACGACGACCCGAGTTCTCGTAATCCCAACGGAGCGGCGGAGATGCGCTTCGTCGAGATGAGTGTCGGCGCGAGCCGGCGCGACTAGTGGCGCTGGCCTTTTCGAACAGTGAGCGACGGGAACGCTGGATCCAGGCGCTCTCGCGATCACTGAGCGGATGCTCGGCGACATGGGCTCCCCACTCGTCCGTAGTCGGGCGAGACGATACACACCTCCTGCAGCCTTCAGCAACTCGCACGTAGCAGATACGGTCGTCGGCGTTCCAAGCGCTGTCGCAGATTCGTACACGCAGCTCGCCCAAGGAATGGCCCCGATGATTTCTTTTCCGGTATACGATCCAGTCGGAGAGATTCTCTTCCTGCGCTTGCGTCCGGTTCCAGCGCCGGATGAAGGCGCACCACGACTCCTGCAGCGCACTGTGGTCGACGCCGTCCACCGGCTTCTGGCGCAGCGCACGAAAACGCCGGAAGAGGTCCTTCATCTCGTCCAGAGGCTCCGGATTTTGCGCTCCGGAGATGTCATACAGCGGCCAGGGTCTCAGCGCCTCGTCCATCACGTGGGTACCGCGTGCCGCGGTCGTCGCGCTCATCAGCGACGTCGCCGTCGCTGGAATCTGCTGCTGCTGCTGTTCCATCGTCCGCGCCTGTTGTCTGCTGTGCAAGTCGTGCTGTACTTCTCCTGCGTGGCGCAGGATCTGTCTCGTCCCCGCCTCGTTAGTTCCTGTTGGCCACGATTTTCTTCTCGTTTCCCTTTTGATTGATTTGTTCTCCGCCCGTCGCTTATGTTGCGTAAGTGCAACTAAAGAGGGGGGGGGGGGTGAAGTGGGCCACACCATTACATAAGTAGGTAGATTTATATTACAAAAGTAGGTGCAGCAGCACACGGCTAGCGTGTGCTGAACTGCCGTCATCCTATTGGTTGATATATGGGGAGCCAGACCCATTATCAGCCAATAAGGGGTTGACGTGTATTTGAGTGGTCAGGGCAAGCTGCCCTGGACCTAAATAAAAACAGAGTTGATTTCCCTTCAGACTAAGCACTTGGATTCATTATCGTGGAACTTGCACGCTTCCTCATTATTACGTGTAAGCTAGTAACGGACACTCTAGGCCCGTTACATATGACACGTCATACTTCGGAATATTTGGTACATAGTACCAAGGTCGTTCAAAGCCAACCATTGGTCAACGACATTGCATTTCTATAGGTGACTTATAGTTTGTATTAAACCCAAACTTAATCTACCTATAAATATACTCAGTTTGCAATCTACCTTATTTAGGTCACTTCGCTCTCTTTTAAATAAAGAGGGGACCTGTGAGCTGCCGTTCACTGAGAGTTTGTAAACTCTCGGAAGATAACTTCCTCTAGCGCAAGGTGCTGTGTGACCCCGTCACACTAGCTCTACGCTGTTTGTATCCGACAAAATGTTTGCTTGAGAGCTTGAGCAATCACTTCGAAAAATTAATTTCAGATATGACCCTTTGACCGAGCGTTACGTTGAGCAAGTGCTCAGCATGACGCAGCTGTTCTGCAGACTGTATTATCTAGGGTAGCTGTGTACTAGCTACACAGCTACCCTAGATGCCGCTTGTAGCGGCTACTATTCATAGATTATACCTGTAAGAGGCTGTTAATTCATTCTAGTAGGTAGTACTACTCCACGCATTGAAAATAGAGTACTATTACAATGATATCAGCATACTGAAAGATGGGCCAGATTTCACAATGCATGTTTTATTACCGTATTCCTTATGTGATTGGCGACGCTCGGTCATTAGCGACAAATCCAGCAGCCAATCAAATTGATTTACATTTCGTGTCGTCGCGCTTTATGTGCTTGGCGACCAATATAATTTTGAGCATGTCATATAGTTTTTTTTATGCAGGTATCTTTTATGCTGGCAGAAAGGCTGGACCACCTCAAGAATTTGACTGTCGCCAATCACATAAGGAATACGGTAATACCATTTCTGAATCGAATAATCGTAAGTATCGCTCAGCTAGCCAATTAAATCTCTCCGAAGTGCGCCAAGAAAAAATATTCCCGACAGACAGCTGGAAATTCAAAATGATATTTTCCATTTTTTTTCAGGTTTACATTCTGGAAAAGAACACTGGAACTGCTGCAAGTCTTCCGCGGCGCTATGGTGGATGCGGACGTGTACTTCGGCGATGACTTTGGCCAGAAGATCGACCTCACCGTGCGCATTCGCGAGATCCTGCGCAACTATCCCGGTACGACTTCCACTTCCTAAGCATGGGGGAGATAACCCCTTGATCCTTATTTCTCCTGGTGGATTGGATTGACCTTTGGGTCCATTGCCTCTTGCAGAGGGCACGTCCATCTTCAAGGAAATGGTGCAGAACGCCGACGATGCCGGTGCTACAGATGTGAACTTGTGTCTGGACTATCGCCAGCACGCCGCGACGGGTCTCGCGTATGAGAAGCTCGCATCTTTCCAAGGTCAGTGAAGACAGCGAGGGAGATAGATATTTTCCCTAGTCCTATTATCACTTACTCTGCTGCTGTGTTGCATCTGCTGCCAATGCACTCCAGGTCCGTCGTTGCTGGTTCACAACAACGCCACGTTCAGTGCTGCCGACTTTCAGTCGATTCAGGTAGATGATGGAGTTACGAGTTGCTGTTTGGCAATGGGCTTGAAGCTGATTGCTATTTGCTGAATCAACTTGTAGCGCATTGGAGACTCACTTAAAAAAGACAACTCGAAAGGGTGGAAGACTGGGCGCTTTGGTGTCGGCTTTAACTCCGGTACAGTTTATTGTAATTTCTATCGTAGGCCATTCTATTGTTTCTCATTTTCTTCGACGCAGTGTATCACGTGACTGATCTGCCCACGTTCGTGAGCGGCTCGCAGCTAGTTTTCTTCGACCCTCAGGTATTCCTCATACCTTGCCGAGATTATCGCTAAAATTTGAAAAACTGAAGCCAATTTTTTTGGTTATCACTATAGGCTTGCCACTTACCAAACGTCAACCCAAGTAACCCTGGAAAGATGATTGACTACATCGCGCATCCTGATCTGGTGGACAACTTTCCTGCTCAAATCGACCCGTTCCGATGCTTTGGGTGCAACTTTTCGGAGTCCTTCGCGGTAAGCAGGATACTTCGCCTCCTTCACTTACCTTTTAGGGAACTAACTGTGTTTTTACTCATTAATTCGTTGAAGGGGACGATTTTTCGACTTGCACTACGAACCGAAGAGCAAGCACAGCAAAGCAAGCTCTCGAATCGCGCTCAAACGCCGGCAAAAATGGCAGAAATGCTAAAGGAGTTTGCTGACAGCTTGCCGACCGTGTTGCTGTTCTTGCGCAATGTGTGCAAGATATCGATATGGGAATGGAGAGCTGGAGAGGATTCTCCCGCTGTTTTACACGAAGCTTTGATCACCAATATGACGTCAGACATAAAAGCAAAGCGCTCGCTGCAACATACAAGTCTGGGTTCAAGTCGACAACTTGCCACCCAGCGGTTCTCAGCTGATGGTATGCTACATCGCTAGGAAGTGCATTTATCTGGCCACCAAACCTCTCTAATTATTTGTTATTATTACAGGAATCGTTTGCGACTACCCCCTGAAAATTGAAGCTCGACACTGCACCGCAAGTTTGACGAAGGAATACATGATCATGAATCAGCTTGGTGGTGGAGACTGCACCAAAATCGCATGCGATCTAGCCAATGCAAGTCAGCGCCTTGTTCCGTGGGGTGGTGTAGCTGTTTCAACGACTGCTGATTCCGCAAATACTGCTATATCTGGCCTTGCATTTTGTTTCTTACCGCTGCCGACGCATACGTATTTGCCTGTGCACGTACGTACTTTCAGCCTGGAAAGGTGTAGATGGCTACGTCTGCTAATAAATATTGTTTTGACTATCTATCAGGTGAACGGATACTTCGAACTCTCGTCTAACCGTCGAGACATTTGGTTTGGTGAGGGTCTAAGTGGAGACGGGTTGCTTCGTGCACAGTGGAACATTGCCTTGCTTCGTGATGTGATTGCGCCATGCTATGCTCGAGCTGTATTGCACCTGGCGAACAATCAAGTTATGGAGCCTGATCAGCACGTCCAGCTACTACCACAAGCGCTCCCACCAGCGCCCTGGGACTCCCTGACGTACGCCTTTTTGTCGTTAATTCGTAATAAGCCGTGTTTGTACAGTGAAGTTGGAGACGGACAGTGGGTGTCTCCTTTAGAGAGCATGGTGATTCGCAGCAGCTACTCGAACTCGAAGCACCTAGAGCAACTACTCATTGATGACGGTTTCCCGGTTGTTCGGAACTTGGCTGAAGATCGTGAGCGTGTGTTGGTGAAAACCGGAACTGTCCCGTCGTACGTTGAACCACAAACCGTACGGAAGGCATACAAAGCCAAACATTCTAGCCATGCGAGTAACCACGACGCAGTCAAGTGCTTGTTAAGCTTTATGCTGAGTGACTTGGAGCCTGACTGCGTAAATGCACTTGTCGGTGTCAAATTTCTCCCGGTGGCAGATGGAACTCTTCAAGTGTTTGAGAATCGCTCCAAATCTGATCATAATGAACTCGAGTACCTGTGCTCCATGGGGTTTACACGACAGCATGCAGTGTTTGCACTAGCAGTCGCGGGGGATAATGGTGTGGAAACGGCGCTTAACTGGTTGTTGCAGAATCCGAATCCGTCGAGTGTAAGTGGAGAAGGAGCCAATTGCACCTTTTACATCCCAAGTCGTGAAGAACTGGAATTGCTGGAGAAAGCACGTGGTCACTTAGTGAATATCGAAGCTATAGGTGCAGATGAACTAAAGCTTCTGTCATCGGAAGTGGCGCAGAAGCAGCTTAACGTGCAAAAGCTGGATTATCAAGGCTTTGAAGATATGCTAGCAGTGGTGTTGCCTGCTGCGTGGTTTGGAAAGCTGCTAGTTCCTTGGAATGGAGCAAATGACGGCGATGAACCAAGTGAGAAATGGTTTCGGCAGCTCTGGAAATACATTGGTACGAGCAAGCACCTTTCCTCGTTTAAGGATAAGTGGCCGATCGTGCCAACATCTTTGCACAAACTGGCGCAGTTGAGTGCTTCAGCAGGTGTGTTGAGTGCCGAGCTAATTCCTGAGAGCTGCCTCCTGTGTTTGGAAAAGATACAAGTGCGTCTTCTTCTGCCCAACCTGTTTGCATCTTTTCAACCAAACCCGGAGGTATGGCAGTATATTCACCAGCCAACTCCTGCCGGTGTACTGTCGTGCATTGGAGTGGCCTTGGGCGACGGAGGCTTGGCAGTACCAGCTCAAGTGAAGGCATTGTTCGAACGCACTGAGAGGTCCGACAGGGAGAACCTGCTTAAGTTTCTAATGTCTGGGAATATCGAAGACATCGGCGCGAACCACAAGCAAATCGGCTGCAAGTTGCCCATTTTTCCAGGTTTCCGATCCGTCGCGCGTCTTGAAGAACGAGACACGCAGTGGACGAGCAGCGACGAAGAGGCGGGTGACGTGGACAGTGGGTTTTCTCCTGTATTTGTGTCACTGGCGGAGATTGAGGAGCAACACCACGAACCTCTGCTATGCGTGGGCATGACTCCGAAATTCTTGGACGACAAGTTTGTTTTTGTGAAAGAAGGAGACACAGTACTGGCGAAATTCCTGGCGCACTTGGGCGTTCGACGAATTTCTAAAGTGGAGTTTTTTGCAAAGTACCTGATTCCTCGTTTCAATCACATCAAGCCCGAAGCTCGCGTAAAATTTGTGTACCAGTTACTGGTGGAACTGACTTCTTTACTCGCACAGGATCATGACGGCATTTTGTCAAGTATCCTCGACACTGCAACGATTTTCCCGACAATGACGGGAGATCTGAAGTGCATTGACGACTTGTACGACCCAGAGATTGACGAGTTTATGGATATCATGGACGACTCCTTTTTCCCAGCGCTTGAGCTTCAAGATCCGCAGCCACTGTCTGCGCTAAGGTCTATTGGACTTCAGCGTGCGTTGTCTCGACGATCAATTCTGTCGCTTGCGGTGTCATTAGAAAACGACCAAATGAGGATCGCAAGTGGCAGCGCTGGACTGAAAGACGACGATGAAATGTGCGAGAAGCTACGCTCTCGTTCCATTAAATTCTTCCAGTACGTCGACACGCACATGGACCAGCTGGTAACTCCAACATCACTTCAGCGAAAGCCCCACATGCTTGCAAAGAAAAGCAAAAAGAGCAAGGGAATGCGCTTTTTGCGAAATTTCATAGGTGATGATCGCCTACGCGGACTTGACGCACTGCATGGCAACAACGCGCTACCTGCCGAAGAGCTGGAGGGTCAAGCAATGGAGAAAGCAGAAATTGAAGATTTTAAGGCGAAATTGGCGATTATCGTGTGGATCCCAGTGTGTGAGGAGAAACCGCACCCCGCAGCGCCATGGTACAAACAAGGGGAACGAATTATCGTCGCGTCGTCGCAGCAATCTCGGCCGACAAAGCAATTGTGGCTTTGTTCATCTCAGTTCCACATCATAAAGTGCACGGTGCATTCAGAAGTCCTGCGAGGTGTGCTGGGGTGGGATAAGCTTGTGCCAGTTGAGACGATCGCTGCCCAGCTAAAGAAGATCTCGCTACTCTTTGACAGCCAACGAGTGCAGGATGAGGGAGAACTGAAATCTGGCGCTGACAGCGACACTCACGTGATTTGGTCTGCGGTGTACAACATTTACCAGGTGTTATCGGTATTTTTTGAGACTGAGATGGGAGACCGCCGGAGCCAGGTGCTAGCGATTTTGGCAGGGAACGGCAAGTACGTATGGGTTGGTGACCGCTTTGTGTCGGCCAACCACGTGGCCAACGTGGCTGTTGTGAACGCAGAACCCTATTTGTACACGGTTCCGAATGAGCTACTTCATTTCCGGCCTTTCTTACGAGCGATTGGTGTCCGAGAAAGGTTCGCACTGGCAGATTATGTGCACGTTCTCGGGTCAATGTACAAGGAGTGCTCAAGTGTGGTGACATCAGAAGACGGGGGCACGAAGAATGCCCCTCTCTCGGGTGATAAACTGACAACGGCGATCGGATTAATTCAGTTGATCAGTGACACGCTCCAACACCACTCCGATTATGAGTTGTTCGCCCCGGACCGAGATGGAGTGCTTGAGTTCGCAGCAAGTTTGACGTTTGACGACGCTCCTTGGCTGAATGAACGCGATTACGAGACGTCTTCGGGGTCCACTCGATTTATTCACCCCAAAATTTCCAACGAAGTCGCTGCAAAAATCGGATGTCGGTCTTTACGCAACCAGTTGTTGCATGAGAGCGGCCACGAAGCTATGTCTTTTGGAGATGTCGAGGCGTTTGGCCAAACAGAAGCGCTGACAAAGCGAATTGCGCACATTCTCGAGCAGTATCCGGATGGACCGAATATTATCAGTGAACTCATTCAAAACGCTGATGATGCCGGTGCTACTCGTGTCGCTGTATTGTACAACGGCTGTACGTACGGGACTTCTTCGTTGCTAAGCCCAGCCATGGCGAAGTGGCAGGGGCCGGCACTGTATTGCGTACGTTTACTCTTGTTTCGTATCTGCTATACTCCTATCGATTGACCGAGCTGTGTGTGTGTTTTGCAGTACAACGATGCTGAGTTCAGTGATGGAGACTTTATTAACCTTGCACGCATTGGTCAAGCCAGCAAGCTGCAACGGGCAGCGACAACTGGGCGATTTGGATTAGGCTTTAACTCCGTGTACCACTTTACAGATCTGCCTTCGATTGTGTCAGCCAAGTCGATTGGTAAATCACTCGCTGTTACCTTTAGTCGCGAGACGTTCACTAATTGTGTGTTTTGTGCAGTGATGTTTGATCCGCATGCCACCCACCTGCCTGGCATATCCGCTGTGAACCCAGGGATCAAGATTCGTTTCGCAAATGCAAGCATCGTGAAGCAATTCCCGGACCAGTTTGCGCCATTCAAGGGTGTCTTTGGATGCGACCTAGAACACCATTACAAGGGCACCTTGTTCCGCTTCCCGCTCCGTGATAGCTCTCTTGCAGAAAGCAGCGAAATCAAGCGTCGAGGCTACTCGCACCGCGAAATTGCGGAATTATTCAAAAGTTTCCAGGCGTCAATTATTGACACATTGTTGTTCCTGCGGAACGTCCGCAAGGTGGAAGTTTACTTTCAACCCGAGATCGACCAACCACCCGTACTTTTGTACGATGCAGAAGTGCCCGAAGAAGATCGAGGCGAATCATGGCGGGAGATTGATCGATTTATGCGCAATACTGGAAAAGTACCTGGTGCGACGGAGTTGTCCGCTAAAAGAGAGTTTTACACCCGCTTGCGCTCCACACCGACCGAGGAACTTCCCTCTGTGAAGCAGGTGCTCCACATTCGGCGGCGACAGCAAAAGGAACTTAAAGAATCGTTTCGTCGCTTCGATATAGCAACGTCCCAGCACGAAGCAGAGGTGGAACTGGATGATCAGATGGAGGAGACTAGTGAGAAGTACTTGGTATGTAACCAAATTGGTGGTGGGAAGGCGCGTGATATGGCTTGTGCTGCGGAAAACGAGTCCTTAAAGCTGATCCCATGGGTGGGTATTGCCAGTCGTATCGATGGAGTGCCGACGGAAGGGCGTGCCTTCTGCTTTTTGCCGCTTCCTGTTCGTGTTGGCTTACCTGTCCACGTTAATGGCTACTTTGAGTTATCGTCGAATCGCCGTGACATTTGGACTGGAGACGACATGAGTGGAGATGGAAAGTTGCGCTCAGAATGGAACGCAAACTTGTTGGTGGATGCTGTCGCACCTGCGTATTTGGCCTTCCTACTGGAAGCGAAAGCTATGAGCCAGGGAGATGCCTCTCAGTATTTGACGTTTTTCCCGACGAATCTCCCTGCCAGTCCCTGGGACAGCGTTGTGCTCGAACTCTTCCGCATTATGAAGAACAAGCCGATGTTCTTTACGTCACCGAGCCAGGTGATGGGTAATGCACTCGTGGAGGGCCCCAGGAAATCAGTTGCTCCAGGGTCATGTGTCTTGATAGACGACAGTCTGAGTGACTGGGAAATACTCGAGGCTGCACTGAGTACAGTGTCTCTATCGACGGTGTATTTGCCTGTGGCTCTGCGCAATTTGCTGGTTCAGCTAAATACTGTTCATGGAGCGATGACGCCTGGCTTTTTCCGGCAACTGACACGAACGGGAGATTTCCTACCCGTCTTGAATCAAGATGGCCTCAAGCGAGTTATTCAACTCTGCGTGTCGGATTGCCTAGGCCCTTCTAATCTCCTTGCGGCTCAATCTCTCAACCAACTGCCGTTGCTGCCTTTAAAGAACGGGAAGTTTGAAAGACTCTGCTTCACAGACACGAATAACGACGTGAATTCGAGCAGGAAGCAACAGCCGACCTTCTTCTTTGTAAATGCGATGGAGGAACAACTTTTGGCAGACTTTCAGCATCGTGTGGTGCGTGGAGAGTTTAAGGAGCTGTTCGATCAACTACCTGCAGTGTACGAGAACTCAAATCTCGGTGTGGTGAATCTCGAAACCATATTGGAGAGTTTCTTGCCTCACGTATTGGGTCGTTGCTGGAGCAAAGTTCAGAAGGATGTGTTTACTCTAACGTCGCCTTCAGGACTGGAGAATATTCAAGCCAAAAAGGACTGGATCCGCTTACTTTGGACGTATGTGGAGACTCAGCTACAAACGCTTGAACAACTGCCCCAAGAACTTATGAAGTGGCCGTTGATTCCCACCGTTGGTGACGGGGACAACCAATGGGTTTGCCTGTCTGCAAATGCCAGTCTCGTTTTCCCTCACTCGGAAGCGTCTCTGCTGTCATCGGAATTACTCTCTCAACTGCAACATGTATTGGCGAAGGTTGGTGTTCACATTGTGGATACGTCGTATGTGAACGGTGAAAGGAGCATGCAGTGGCTGTTGGCGCGTAAGTATGCCCATAAGCTGACTTCAAATGGTCTTCTGGCTGCCTTAAGCCGCTATCAGTTTCGACACAACAGGCAAAGTTTCGATGATATTTTTACTGCCACGACAGCTACCGAGCGGCAGGTGCTGTGCGACTTCTTCGCTCAGAACACGTTTGACACTGTGTCAAATGACTTGCATCCGATTTTGTTCGAACTCCCGATTTTCCCCGTGTACACGAAAGCCATTTCCACTGCAGCAAGCGCCCGAGATGACGACAGTATGCAGTTCGTGAGCCTAAGACGAGGAGGTTACTTACCAGATGCAAATGCGGACAGCAGAATTCTTGACGACTCATTTTTTTGTGCCAAAAAGGAGGCGTTGAGGAGATTCCTGCGAGACTACGGGATTGATGAGTGGACCGACACGAGGATTCTGCTGGAGTATGTTTTCCCTCGGCTCGAGGAACTAGAGAAACGAGATGGGGATTTAGTTGATTCCGTAATTGTTGGTGCACTGGAGACACTCTCGTATCACCAGCGAAACAACTCACGCTTTCGTGATGTTATTACAACGCAAGCTATCATCCCGTCCAGGAAGCGAGTGTTTCGAGAAGTCCACCAGCTTCATGATCCAAGTGTGAGTGAGCTGAGTGAATTAGTGGGGGAAAACAGTCTCCCAGCTCAAGCGTTCTCCACACCAGCGATGGTTCCGATCCTGCGGTCGCTGGGTCTTCGTACTGGACTTTCCTGCCATGCTGTGCTGGAAAGTGCGCGTTCTATTGAGACGATGTATGCAGAAAGCAGTGCCGACTCAGTCGACCAGGCGCGCCTCAAGTCTCACAGCTTGCTATCGATTGTGAACAAACACTTTGATTTGATGATGTCCGAGTCAACTTCAAATGATTCCGTGACTGATCAAGAAGGCAACAGCGATAAACGAGCTATGCAAGATATTGTGGCGGAACTGAAAGAAGTGAAATGGCTACCTGTTCGGCTAGAACCACCCGACCCTGCAATGCCATGGAAAAATCCAACCGAAAGTGGCGATCAGCGAGTTAGTCTGTCCAATGCATCCAAGATGCGCCCACTAAAAGATGCAGTACGTACTGTTGTGTGTTTGACTTGATCGGGCATGGTGAACTAAGGTGTGTATTCTTTTTTTCATTCACTTGTAGTGGCGCTGTTCGTCTTCTATGGATATCCTGGATGGAGAGCTTACGTCGGAAGAACTCATCGGCGCGTTCGGGTGGAAGGAGCCGGTCGACGCTTATGTGATAGCGAAACAACTCGAGGCTATTGGCTTGCAATGGGAGGAGTACTGTGGCGTAAAGGATGCTGAAGTGACCTCTACTTCGCCCAGTTGGCGCTTTCCATTATCGGAAGTCCATCTCATGTATGAGGAGCTGGAAACCTATCGACTATCGGACGAAGAGGGCTGGAAGACGTCGTCTGTGCATCGCAAGCTGGCAAATGCTCTTTGGATCTGGACCGGTAAAGGTTTTGCTTATCCGTGTCAAATAGCTGTGGAGGCTGACCCCGCGTTGGAGCCTCTGCTGTACTCCTGTCCGAGCGAGCATATTATCCCACGGTCGCTTCTTGCTTCCTTTGGGCTAAAGAACGATTTTGATACTGTTGATTACCTGGAAGCGATCATGAGACTGCCGCGAAATGTTGTTTTGAACGGGAAGCAAGTGGCGGCGTGTTTGATAATTTACGAAACTATCGCGGACGACACGCCGACATTAGAGTCATCCCTTGGCTCGTTCATATCACAAGAAATGGTGTTGCTGGATCAGTCTAATCGGCTTGTTTCTGCCGTGCAGTTGATATTTGACGACATGGAATGGAACGAATCACGAGAAGTTCGGCGAGGAGCGACTTTCGTATCGAATAAGGTTCCTAAAACAGTAGCAGGACTGCTGGGTGCTGCTTCGTTGCACTCCACATTAGCACAGACATCAGTCACCAGTCGGCGTGTTGTGTGTCCACCCGCTGATGCCATAAAGAGCGTGTTGCCTCTTCGGTCAGAATGGCACCACACACTCCTTTGGGAAACGATTCTTGCAGCAGAGCGACTTGGTGGTACACAAGTAGACTTCTTCCTGGATAGCCGACATCACTCGTCGCAGCGTGTGATCCAGCCGTCTCTGCAACCACTGCAAGATGAGGCACTGTGCATCCACATCCACGACCTTGTGCTGAGCGAAAGCGACATAAACAACCTGTTCCAAGGAGATTCTTCGCGCGCGGGGCTTCTCTGTGGCTTCGCCGTGTCCGACTGCATGCAGATTCTCAGTGGAGAGGGGTTTTACGTGCTGGATCCGACGGGCTGTTATCTGACCTCATCAACTGGGACAACTACAGCCTCAACGCCAGCCTCAGGTCGGATGACAAGTGTCGGTCGACGATATGAAGTGCTGAGCCAAGACTTCGTACGATATCCCGATCAGCTGCTACCATTTACCACCCTTCCTTCGTGTCCTAGTAACGTGTCGCAAGGAACGCAGAGTACGCTAATTCGGTATCCCTGGCGCAAGTCTGCGTCAGCTGTGTCAGCCTATGTACTGGATACGAGGGAAGCAGACAAATTGGTTGTATTCTTGAAGTCACAGCTATTCCAAACGCTGATTTTTACCGAGTGCGTGCACCGTATTTCGCTTTGGAGTGTGGGCAAGGGATCCGAGTTTGCATCCCATTGCCATGGCGAAGTGTATCTGGATGCACCTGAACGTACGATTCGAAAACGCAACATGACACGGCAAAACCAAGAGTGGAAGAAGAGGTTTTCGCTGCAAAGCTTCTTCAAAACTCCACAGATCCCTGAAAATCAAATGGAGTTCGTGGTGAACCTGGAATTGGAGAATCGGCAGCATCGCGACACTTGGTTGTTTGCAGACAACATCGGATGGGGAAGAAGTCGCGATCTGGCGTGCACTCCTGTCCATGAAATGCTCCACTCGTTGCCGTACGTGACTGTAGCGTGTCACATCTTTCGCGATGGTAAGCCAGCTCCTCGACTTCGCGGTCATGTGTACAAAATCGTGGACACAAAACAAAAGGTGGGCCTTCCAGTCCACATCAATGGCTGCTTTAAGAAGTCAATTAAAGACAAGCAACTGGCACTGACTGCACCAAACCAATCGGGTCGAGAAGATGATTCTGGTGGTGCAAGTGGCAGCGAGCTACAGGTTGCAGCTGGATGGAACCGCATTCTACTAGAAGATGGTGCCTCCGACGCGTACGCGAAGCTTCTGATGGTTGCAAGGCGGCGCTACGAAAGCTCTTTCCCCAGAGCACTTTACAAAATATGGCCCACGTTACAACAGGTGAGACTGATGATTCTAGATTTTCTGCTTCTTTGTACTGTACTGACGAGTGTTTCTTTACCAGAGAGGTGACAAACAGCTCGGCGCTCTAGTGCAGACGCACACGTACCATTCGGTAGGGACACGGGAGCTGTTCCTTTGTACTGACGGCGCCTTCCGCGCACTGAGTAGCGGCTACCAGCTTGATCTGAGTGGCATGAATATTCAGGTGAGCTCGAGTCGTGTTATGGTTGACGGTGAAATGTTACTGAACTCACGATGAACGTGTACACTTACAGGTGGCCTCGTTTGCTCAGCTGCACTTCCCAGCGTTTAACGTGCCAGCTAGAATTCTGCAGGATTGCTCTCGGCTTTTGCCGTCGCGTATTTACGCCGTTACTCCAAGAGTTATGCGACGCTTTTTGAGAAGTGTGAGCAGCTCGGAGGTCCTCTCCGATGTCTGCCTATCCCTGTTCGAGTATTGTCTGAGCGATTTGCCATTCCCGTTGCCAAGTGAAGCGGATCCAATTTGGACGGAGTTTCACGGACTGTCGCTGCTACCGCTAGAGGATGGAAGCATTGGTGTGCTTCGGTTGAATCAGCGCCGAACGAGCTACATTCTAGGGTCGTTCAACCAGATTGAGTTGCTTCGGCCTCTTGGGCACATGTTTGTGTCTCTAGCGGCATGCCAAAGACTGCACAAGTATTTCTCGGAGACTCGGTTCACCTCCATCTTTGGAGTGGCTTCCTTTTCCATCAAGACCCTGGCGGATAATATTGAGCGTGTGCTACCCTCGTACTGGAAAAACCAACCAGTTGTTGACTGGGATCCTACGTCGTCGGTTGATCAGTTGTGGCTATATCGCTTCTGGCAGGTAGTGCACTTTGAGCGCCGATCTTTGGAGTATTTTGCAAGCTGGCCGTTGATTCCGGTGAAGGGATCACGATTGGTTTCTTGCGCTAAGATGGATAAGGCTGTATGCGTCTGGGACGGCTCAGCAGATAGCGAAATATCAGCGCAAGTGGCCGAGGCGTTTGAGGCTTCTACTACGGAGCAAGATAGGAAAATGGCTGGCATGGAAGCTGAGCGCAAGCGGTTGATGGAGCTCAGCTCTGAGAAACGCAAAAAGGACGATGAACTAGCTGATGATAGTTCGGATGACGACCGAAGTGGAGAAGTGGATGAAGACAGCGACAATGCGTCCATTTCTGGTGATGAAGAGTCATCTGGAGGCGGTGTTACCGTCGAGGTGGAAGATATTCCATCTCCATTAAGAGAACGCAAGTCGAGTATAAGAGACGTGGAAAGCGACGATGGTGGCGAAGCAACACCTCTATCTCCTGGTTCATTGCTAGTGGCGCTAGAGAATATCAGCGACTACGAAGACGACGCTGAGAATCTTGAGAGTGGTGACATTAGTGAAGGCTTCGCAGTCCCCGTGTATCCAGTTGAGGATGAATCACACGAGTTCTGTAGTCGTGAGACGCTTCATAACGTTCTGTTGGAGCTGAATGTGTCAATGATGGAGCTCGCGTATCTCGGAGGTCAGGAGCGTGATATCGTGCCACGTTCTGCTGAAGTGGGCTTGGTAGTTCTGGACGGAATTTTTGCCTCAGCTTGGGAAGAGCTTGCGTGGGAAGCGCTAACTGAAGCACGTGCTGTGCTTATCGCCGAGTTTTTCGCGCACAACGGCGAGACCAATGGAGGCTACAACCGCGTCCAACTGGAAAAGCTGAAACAACTGCCAATTTTCGTGAATGTCCGTGACGAACCCTGTGCGATTCATGGTGGACAGGATTTCTATTTAATCCCACCGGATCTGAACTTGACGGACATCCCGTTGTCTCCTGATGCCCAGCAGTGCTTTCTCAAGAGTAATCCTCGCCTTAATGGGCTCTACAAGGAGCTCGGGGTGGATGAAATGAGTGACAGCAAGCTCCTGATCTACATTCTTCCGATGTTCAATGAACTGCTCGAGTCCCAGCGGGACCAGGTGATGCACATTGTTCTACGGAAATGGCAGTCGCTTCGTGGTAATGCAGAGTTGACGGCTTTACTGAAGATATCGGCTCTGTTCCGCGACACCGAAAGTGAAGACGCAAGCTATCGCCCCGCCGATGCTTACTGCGACCCTCGAAACAAGGTACTGGCCACAATTTATGCTAGTGCTCGCGGACAGTTTCCAGCCCAGCGCTATCGCACGCCCGAGTGGCTGGATCTGATGGGTGAGATTGGTCTGCAAACTGAAGTTACCGTCGACATTTTCGTGGAGTGTGCGCAACGCATCGACGGACAGTTCTCGGGCAAACAGGCCTTGACACCTGAAGACGAGCATCTCATCACAACATTGCACGAATTTTTCGTCCAGAATTTCGACAGGTTTGATCGAGCTCGGTCATTTTTCGAGAGAATAACGTCGTTAGCATTCGTCCCAGCGGTTGTGTATGAGACCATATCGGAGTCGTCGAATGGAGCTGCAGTCGATTCTCAGAAGCGTGAAGGGCAGTTTACGTCGCGCTCGGTTGTCCGCAAGTACTCGGACTGTGCCACTCCAGATGACCAGGCGTTAGTGTACTCAACTATGCCGATTCTGGCAAACGTGGCGCTACCACCGCGAGTACTTTACAGTCGTCTGGGAATTAAGTCTCCACCTCCTCAGGATCAAGTCGTGAGGCACCTGATGACTGTTACGAATGCCGATCGTGCTATGTCGTCTCGGTCGCTAGACTGGCAGTTCTTTTTGCCCATGGTCGAGGTGTTCCAATCAATTTTTAAATTTCTACAGGAGAACTGGGGAGAACTACGTGTGGAGACTCAGCAACGTCTCGCGAATGCGGCAGTCATCCCAGTCGGTTCGACTCTGGTGAAGGGCTCTCGTCTATTCTTTCACTTGGGCGAGAACCTGGCTCCGCTAATGTTCGAAGTACCACGAGTATTTGGCGCGTACGACACGCTTTTCCGACACATGGGCTCGAAAGAAGCCCCCGAAGTGGGCGACTACATCCGGCTGCTACGAGATCTGAAGGAAGAATGCTGCGGTCACCCGCTCAACTTGAATGAACTGATCGCAGCTGCGCGTGCTATCGACCTTCTCGTCGCAGCCATGGCCGAGTCGAACTATCGCCTTTCGCTGGAGGAGAAGATCAGTATCTTCCTTCCGTCAGGTACAGCTGTTATGCAGTCGATGTTGGTGATGGCATTCAACGACTCTGCGTCGCTCTGTTCCAGCGTTGATCTCACGCAGCTGCATGTGGCTCACCCTCGTATCAGTACGAGGTGCTGTAAGGTGCTAGGGGTGCCAGGGATTACTAGTATTGTGACGGAAGAGTTAGATGGCGGCGAGAATCCGACTGAACTCCTGGCTAGTGACGATATCGCGCATTTCAACAGCGTGTTGGCCTCGCAGCAGTTTGCTGACGGCTTGCGTAAGATCATCACGGCGCAACAGCAGAAGGCCTCATCATACGATGCGTTTGGATCCATTCCCGATTTTGAAGACCTCAACCAACGGATCATGAACTTGGCAACGTATGAAGTCAAGTGTACGGCGGAGCTGCGCTCTCGCTTTATTGCGAAATTGGATTTCCCTGCTCGTAGAATTGATGTGACCAAGACCGAGCGCCAGAGCAGCTTGTCGTTTTTGGACCAGACGAGAAGAAGAGTTTACATCACAAAGCGGACACTCGAGGCGCGATCTGAGAAGGGGATGCGTGCGAGTCACTTGGTCGCTAGGTGCATCAATCAGTTGCTTGGAGGGGTGCTGCAGGACTGCTCCGTGCTGGAGTCTATCTTAACATGCGATGAGATGGAAATCCCCGACGTACTGCAGGTGCTTGACATCTACGAAGACCCCGTGTTGATCGTGGAAAAGCTTCGTGGAGTGCTAGGCCAACCTTTATGCGAAGCAGACTGTGCGAATGTGGAGCTGGCGCCTTTGCGCTCTTGTCTGTCTGGAGAGTTCGTCGCTGTCGAAGATGAAAGTGGAACGCTGTGTTACGCCAAAATTTTAAGGGAACAACCCAGTGACGTAGCGGGTGTATGCCGATACGAAGTGAAGGTGAACAGTTCGTCTACACGATGGATACTAGCTACGCAATTGTACTTCTTCCGCTCCGGTCGCGTGGGAAGCAGTGGAAGCAGTGCCACCGCTCAGAGTAAGAGACAAGCAGAGGATGTTGCAACAAACCACTTGGAGAACGTCGCACTACCCGCATCGGTCATAGCGATTGCTCCAGTAGCCCAAAGCGGCGAGATTACTACTGGATTTATAAATGCCAATGCGCCCGCGGCGGCGGTGTCTTCTGCGAATGTCTTATCGGCTGTGAACGATCTGCTGTCTCGCCTGAACGTGACGTTGGATACGAGCGTCGAGGACCTGATGGCGGAGAACGTTCGACTGCAGCGCCGTCTGGAGGTGGCCGAAGCTGGTCGCCGTGCAGCCGCGACGCAGATCGACACGGTGATCCGCGAGAAGAAGGAGGTGCAAGACTCGCTCGTGTGCGCAGTGTGTCTGGAAAACCAGGTGAACCGCGTGCTGATTCCGTGTGGACATATATACTGTGCATCGTGCGTACAGCAGCTTCCGCGACCCTCGTGCCCGATCTGCCGACAAAGCATTGTCTCCAGCTCCGTGTTCCACGTCCCGTCCTAGCCTGTGTGACGCCGATAGGGTCATTAGAGTTGTTGGTAGACGGGTGAGCCTCCAGGTCTCGTGGATGACTTGCAGGACTTACATGCAGCTGCAATCTAATCTTTAATATAGCGATACATTTCGCGACAGGGATACATGTAGCAAGAAACAAAGAGCATCGAATGGCCGCCGGCACTTACGGCGCAAGTGAACGCCATCGCAACAATTCGCTGTATCCATTTCTGAGCTTCAAGTCCAGAAATAATGCTCATTTTTTCTTGTCGCAGGCAATCTCATTTCGTCTTTATCGCCACGCATTTCGCCTTTCTCGCCAGTTCTAGTGTGATACACCGAAGTTCGCAATACTAACTTCTCTTTGTCTCAGAACAAGATATTCTAATACCGGGACCGTATCATACATGTACTCCACGTTCGTTTCATTAAGGGAAAAAAACGACCCGTAGCACGAAAATAAATAAAGTTTAGGCAGCTAAACGGACCCCTACCATGTGTCGATCAAACCCTTTCTTTTACAGTTAGCTTAGATCAAGAATTGCATCGAATCACGCAAACACCCCGGGTCAATTGAAGCGAAACATGCCCCGTTAATACCGCATACCAGATCATAGCGATACCTTTATCAGCCAGCTGTAAAGATCGGTCGATTTTTGAGCCAAAATTAAATACCGATTAAAAAATATTTTAAATGGTCTTTTATCGAGATTTGCATTTTTAAACCATTGGAGAAAATACCATTCCATTGAGCGAGCCGATGGATATAAACGTTCGCTTGTACAGCATCATCGATGCGAAGAAGGGCACAAGCCCGACACAAAACAAAATCTAAATCGACCGATCCGGTTGAAGTGTTTGCATTGCGCGATTCATAAGCAGGGAAATTATCCAAAACTTCTCGTGAGGCGGAAAGAGAATGGCATCCAGCATCGACGTGATGCTTGTAAGCGCCAGCGCAGCAGCAAGTACTTCCTGCTCTGGAGCTGTATTTCTCGATGAACGCGCTTCAGCTAACCAACATACAATTCACTTTACTTCGCTGCACAGGCGCAATCTGAGAGGAGTTGAGGGCGAGACGAAACTAAATAAGACCAAAGAATCTATGTAAAACCAACAAATTGGTTTGAAATCCAAATTTTTCATAAAAGACCATTCCATAGCCGATACATGTAAGTATTATGCTGTAATACAACCGCTCATACATGTATTCAATTCAAGCATTTATTTATACAACCAAGACCAGACAGAAACAAATGTTAAAAGGCATATTTACAAACTACATGCGAAGTGCTCTCTTTCGGCCCCTTGGCGGTCGAAGTCGAGTTTCTTAAAAAAACTACCGGTAGGCCGTTTGTCGTAAAAATAAAATCTCTCCGAGAAGTGTAATATTTTCGGCCTGAAAATTTCGTGCTGAAACCAAATAAATTTGTGGCAGAATTCCCGGGCCAACATTACCACGCCAAGCATTTTCATGGGTCCCGCACTCAGAAGGTTTTTTTACAACCGACAATGCGGCGTTTTCGCTGGCCAGCAGCACGCACTGAAGATCCTCTCTGAGGCCCATCACACGGCGCAGCGATATCTTGTCGTATGAGCCGCCGTAAGTGACTAAATATGTCAAGCGCAGCCGTTGAAGCCCAAGACACCACAATCCAATCTGCTGCCGGCACTGCATCGACGGATCTACTCCTTCCACATCCAACCCTTGTCCATAATGTCGAGCGCTTCCACTACAAGTAAAAGCCAACGCTCAGTCACCACCACTACGACGGCAGTAAATGCCGGCAAGCTTATATTCATCCCCGAGTTCGGAGGGCAAGGAATTCTATACTGGAAGGAGCTCCAGAAACTTTACACTGTATCCAAGACAAGCATCACGCGCACATTTATCGACGCCGCTGGCCAAGCGCTACTAAAGGAGTCCAGCTCGGATGAGGCAAAGGCCTCCGTCGCCTTCGAAGCGGTCATTGACCTGCATAGCTGGTTGCAGGTTGGAGACACACCTTCGGGCTTGACGATGAGCCACGTCTTCTTTAGTATGCCGCTGCTGGCGTTGACGCAGTGCGCCAACTATCTTAACTTCCTCGAAACTACGGGACTGACCCACGAGACCGTGGTCAAGAACTCCGCCACCGCCGTGGGCCACAGTCAGGGCGTAGTGAGCGCCGTCATCTTCTCGGCGGCTAAAACGGCCCAAGAGTTCGTAGATATCGGCGTCTCCGTGCTACGCTACATGTTCTGGCAGGGACTGCGCGCGCAGGAGACGTACCAGCACCAACTGACGCAATACAAGCAGGATGGCAAGAACACCGAGAATGCCGGTCCTATGCTGGCCGTACGCGGGCTCAAGAAGGAGCTCGTTCTCAAGTCCATCGAGGTCGTTAAGCGCCGCACTAAGTCGCCTGACCTACATCTCTCGCTTATCAACGCGTCCGACATGATGAACGTGACGGGCTTCCCGGCAACGCTGACTCTGTTGAAGCTGGCCCTAGAGGGTCTGTTCGCCAAGCCGGACGCCAACCAGACCCGCATTCCTCACTCACAGCGGAAACCCACAGGTTCGGTGTCATTCTTGCCGCTCTCGGCTCCATTCCACACACCACTGCTGACCGAGGCCAAGCCAAAGCTGTTGCAGGACGTGCAACGAGTCAAGTGCGTGATTAAGGGCAGTCAACTGCAGGTGCCCGTGTATGCTACCAACGCGAAAGCCACCAACCTCCAGACGGTGGACGACGTGGTCGATGAACTTATTAACATGCAGCTACTGGAGCTGGTGGACTGGACGGCGACGTGGGCAAAGATAGCTGAGCACCACTCGAGCGCCACGCACATTCTGGAGTTCGGCCCCGATCTTGGCGTAGCCAAGCTGAGCGACAAGGCTGCAGAAGGCCTGGGCATCGAATTGGTCATCGCGACTGCCAAGCACCCGGTTATGAGCTCCTCGACGACGTCTGCTCCCCTTGTCGGTCTGCAGCAGTTCATCGATGCTGCACCGACGTTCACGTCCGTCGAGGCTACGTGGGTGGAGAAGTTTGGCCCGCAAGTGACCGAATCGGGCAAGCTGGTCAACAGATTCACGCGCGCGCTGAACAAGCCGCCTGTTATGGTGGCCGGTATGACGCCGACCACCAGTTTAGAGGGCATCGACCTTGTTGCGGCCATCCAGAATGCTGGTTTCCACGGTGAACTGGCTGCGGGTGGCCTGTCGCGTCCCAACATCTTCGAGGACGCAGTGAACGAGCTCGTGTCAAAGATCAAACCCGGTCTCGGTATTGCGATTAACATGCTGTACCTGAACGCGAAGCAGTGGGGCTTCCAGTTCCCGATGGTGCTACGTATGCGTCGCAGCGGTGTGCCTATCGAGAGTATCACTATCGGTGCCGGCATTCCGACCAAAGAGCGTGCGCTTGAGATGATGTCGCAGCTGGAGGATGTGGGTACCAAGGTGGTTTGCTTAAAGCCTGGTTCTGTAGACGGCATCCACGCTGTGCTGGAGATTGCTGAGGCCATGCCGAGTATGACTGTGATGCTGCAGTGGACAGGCGGTCGTGCTGGTGGCCACCACAGCTTCGAGGACTTCCACGAGCCGATGGAGGAGACGTACGCGGCCATCCGTCGTGTGTCGAACGTGCTGCTGGTTGTTGGCTCTGGTTTCGGTAACTGGGAGAACTCGAAGCAGTATCTTACGGGTGAATGGAGTCTAGCTCGCGGCCACCTGTTCAAGATGCCGGCAGACGGTATCCTCATGGGCTCGCGCGTGATGGTTGCGAAGGAAGCTGCGACTGCACCAGAGGTCAAGAAGCTGCTGGTAGACACGCCTGGCATCGAATCGGAGCTGGAGTGGGAAACGAGCTACACGGGCGAGATTGGCGGCGTGATCACGGTCACGTCGGAGCTGGGAGAGCCCATCCACGTCGTGGCGAACCGCTGTACTCTGCTGTGGAAGGAGTTTGACGACAAGTACTTCTCCATCCCACGCGACCAGGTTGAGCTGGCCCTCCGTCTGAACAAGAAGGACATCATCACGCGTCTGAATGCCGACTACCAGAAGCCGTACTTCGGCTGCAAACGCAATGTGGAGACTGGCGAGAGTGTACCCGCTGATCTGGAGGAGATGTCGTATGGTGACGTGTTGACACGTATGATCGACTTGATGTACGTGGAGGTGGAAGGCAAGCCCCATCGCTGGGTGCACGACACCTTCTTCTCTCGTGTGAGCAAGTTCATCACGCGTACGGAGGAGCGATTCCGTCGTGAAAGTTCTGGTGACCTGTTCGACCAGTCGGAGCTCAAGGCGAACCCGAGAGGGACGGTGACGGCATTTATCACCAAGTATCCCCAGACGGTGTCAACTCTGCTGTCAGTTCCGGACTGTGACTTCTTCCTGGATCTGTGCCGCACTGGTGGCAAGCCCGTGAACTTTGTGCCTGCGATCGACACGGAGTTCAAGACGTGGTTCAAGAAGGACTCGCTGTGGTACTCTGAGGACTTGGACGCCGTTCCGGAACGTGACGCCCAGCGTGTCTTCCTCCTTCAAGGCCCCGTGGCCGTTCGCTACAGCACTGTCGTGGACGAACCCGTGGCGGATATCCTAAACGGCATTGCCACCGGCTTTGAAAACGTTGTGAAGGAAAGCGGCGCGGTTGCTGCTGCCACGGCTGCGTCTGCCAAGCAGACGGTGAACTTCGCTAACGTCGAGGTCACGGAGAGCGAAGGCCGCGTAGAACTGTCAATCTCCGAGGAGGAAAGCACTGTGCCTTCTGCTGACGAGTGGCTGGCTTCTCTTGCCGCGTCCGTGAGCGACAAAGAGTGGCTGAACGCGCTGATCTCGTCGACACACGTCGTAGAGGAGAAGAAGTGGCTCGCGAACCCGGTCCGTCAGCTTCTTGTGCCCCAGGCTGGCCAGAAGTACGTGGTTGATGCTGCTGGTATTCGTGTATTCGACAACTCGATCGACATTTCGGGACCTGTGGTCGAGATCACCAAGAAGGATGCCAGCATCTCAGTTGTTGTGAATGAAGTGCGTCCGGCCGTGACTGGCCTGAAGGCTGGTGTCGTGGCGCTGGAGATGGCTTTCCAGTACCACCCGGAGCTGTCCTGCTCCATCCACGCGGAAGGCAGCGGCTTCATCGATAAGGTTAAGGCGTTCTACGCTCGCTTCTGGGTGGCGGTTGAGGACAAGGAAGAGGAGTCGTGCAAGGCTGCATGCGAGGAAAGCGTCATGTCTCCTTTCACTGCTGAGTTCTCCATTACGGAGAAGGACGTTGTTGACTACCGTACTGCTCTGGGCCTGAATGACGACGAAGAAGGCGCTCCGGCTGACTTCTCGACGATCGTGTCGTGGCGTCCGCTGATCCAGTCGGTGTTCACAAAGGAGGTGAAGGGCAACCTGCTAGATCTGGTGCATCTGAAGCACTCGTACAAGCTGCTGTCGTCGCGCAAGGCTTCGGCCACGTTCCTGCCTGGCGACGATATCGTGAGCACGTCGAACGTCGGCAGTCTGCGCATCATCGACAGCGGCAAGATCGTGCACGGCGTGGCTATCATTTCTCGCAAGACGGTGGACGATCAGATGGTGGAGATGCTTGAGCCTCTCGTGGAGCTGCACAGCGAGTATCTGATCCGCGGCACATTTGATGACTTCAAGTCGACATTTTCAATCGACAAGTCGACGGACGCGTTCGTGCCCAAACGCCAGGAGGACGTAGAGATCCTGAAGACAAAGTCGTGGCTGAAGCCAGTAGATGGTGCCTCGGTGAACATCGGCGACCACCTATCGTTCGAGCTTACGACCAAGAAGCAGTACGCGTCGATCGGCTCGCTGAGCTCCGTGGAGGTGTCGGGTACACTGTTCCGTGACGAAGCGGGCTCGAATGTGGAGCTCGGCACAGTCGAGTTCAAGAGCAATGACGCGAACGAGAGTCCTGTTGTGGCCTTTTTGCGCCAGATGCAGCCTGAGGATGCCAAGGCCAGAGGCATGTTCTCGAACGGTGGCTTTCACATGCTGGAGAAGCCGCTGGAGATTAACGTCCCGACGAACGCTCTGGCGTACGCCGTGGCATCTCGCGACCTGAACCCGATTCATCGCTCCAAGTACGCTGCGATCCTGGGCCACCTGCCCCAGGGCAAGCCGATCATGCACGGTCTGTGGACGGCGACCAAGGTGCGCGATCTGGTGATCCAGAACTTCGGTCTGGGCTTCGACAGCAACGTGGTCGACTACGACGTCAACTTCGACGGCATGGTGTACCCGGGCGACAAGCTGTTCATGCAGGCTCGTCACATCGGCCTCGACAATGGCAAGAAGGTGCTGTCTGTTGAGGTTGTGAACAGCTCCGGTGAAGGCGTGGTAAGCGCGCGTGCTGTCGTCAAGCAGGCGCCAATGGCGTTCGTCTTCACTGGTCAGGGTTCTGCTGCTGTGGGTATGGGCATGGACCGCTACCAGGAGTCCTCAGTCGCTCGTGACATTTGGAACCGTGGTGACTCTCACCTACGCGAGACTTTTGGCTTCTCGATCCTGGAAATCGTGCAGAAGAACCCTAAGTCTATTACGGTGCACTTTGGCGGTAAGAAAGGCCTCGAGATTCGAGAGAACTACATGAAGCTGACTCGTGCCGACTCGGTCACGGGTGACGTTACGGCACTTTTTCCTGAGATCGACGAAGATACTGAGAGCTATAATTTCTTCGCATCTGAAGGTTTGCTATTCGCCACCCAGTTCAGCCAGCCTGCGATCGTGCTGCTCGAAAAGGCCATGTTCTCGGAGATTAAAGCCGCTCAACTGATTTCAGATGATGCTTACTTGGCTGGACACTCTCTGGGCGAGTACGCCGGTCTGATCTCCTTTGCCGACGCTCTAGCAGTTGAAGCCCTGATGGATCTAATGTTCCTACGTGGCATGATCATGCAGAAATCGGTAAAGCGTGACGCAGAAGGGCGTTCCGACTACGGGATGGTGGCTGTAAACCCCACCCGTGTGAGCCCAGATTTCTCTGAGGAAATGATGTACAAAATCGTGGACGGCATTGACGCTGCTTCGGGCAACTTACTGCAGGTTGTGAACCTCAACATTCAGCAGTGCCAGTATGTTGTTGCTGGTGATAATGTGAACCTGGAGACGCTGTCGCTGGCGCTGTCTGCCATCAAGACGCTGAAGTCAACTGCTGCTGAGGACGTGGAGAAGGTTATGGCCGACTCGTTGGCACAAGCTCGTGCCCGCAAGCACACGTGCGAGCAGACTGGCCGTCCGTTTACGCTTGCGCGCGGCCTGGCGACGATCCCGCTGGTCGGTATTGACGTGCCGTTCCACTCGCGTGAGCTGCTTGGTGGTGTGCCGTCGTTCCGTGCGCTGCTGCGTACCAAGTTCGACCCGCAGGTGCTGGAGCGCCAGCTGCCGCTTCTGGTGGATCGCTACATCCCGAACCTGGTGGCGACTCCGTTCTCGCTGAAGCGCTCATACTTTGAGGAGGTCTACGCTGCGACCAAGAGTCCGTACCTAGAGGAGGTTCTGAACCCCATGCAGTGGAAGTTGGCGTCGAAGGCTCAGCTCGCGCACTTGCTTGTGGTGGAGCTGCTGGCGTACCAATTCGCGTCGCCCGTCCAGTGGATCAAGACGCAGGCGCTGCTGTTTTTGAAAGGCGATGTTCGTCGCTTTGTGGAGATCGGCCCTGCTCCGACGTTGACGAACATGGCGCTGCGTACTGTCAAGGTTGGCGACTTCCCCGATGTGTCGCGTGAGATTTTGTGGTACCAGCGTGACCGCGAGGCTGTGCACTTCGAGGAGGAGACGGCCTATATCTCTGCTGCCGAATACGCCCGTGGTCTGGCTGCTGAGGTTGCTGCTGAAGATGCGAAGGTTGCTGCCGAGTCTGCTCTGAAGGTTGAGGAGGCCCTAGCTCCGGCACCGGTTGCTGCACCTGTCCAGGTGCAAGCTGCTCCGGTTCCTGTTCCCGCCGCTGCTGCTCCTTCGGCTGCCGATGCTCCGGTGTCCGCTCTCCACGTCCTGCGTGTGCTTCTCGCTGTGCGTCTGAACAGGGAGCTGACTAAGATCAAGGAAGAAACGGACGTCAAGACGCTGTGTGCTGGTAAGTCTGCTGTGCAAAACGAGATCCTGGGTGACCTCGAAAAGGAGTTCGGCGGCGGTGTTCCTGAGGGCGCTGGTGAGGTGCCGCTGAAGGAGCTGGCGTCCAAGTTCTCTGGCTACAACACGCTTGGTAAGGTGACGAATGGTCTCATCAACAAGGTGGTGGCGAGCAAAATGCCTGGTGGCTTCACGATGTCGAGTATCAAGGAGTACCTGGGCTCGGAGAAGGGTCTCGGTGCTGGACGCATGGAGAGCGTGCTGGCTCACTCTCTGCTGCTGGCCCCGCAGACTCGTTTCAAGAGCGACGCGGACGCGCGCAAGTGGCTGGACGAGAGTGTGAGCGGCTACGCTTCATTCGCTGGCATCTCGCTTGACCGTCCGACGATGGCTGCTTCGCCCGGTGCTGTGAGCATGTCCTTCAACCCTGCCCCAGTGTCGATCCCGACGGTGACTGACAAGCCGGTGGAGGCCAAGCACGCTCTGCTGGTCATGCTGGCAGCCAAGTTTGGCAAGGCTTTCAGCGAGGTTCCGGAGACTGCAACCATCAAGGAGCTGTCTGCGGGCAAGTCGGCCGTGCAGAACGAGATTGTTGGCGACTTGGAGAAGGAGTTCGGCTCTGGCCCGGATGATGCAGCGGAGATGAAGCTGACTGAGCTAGCCGGCAAGTTCCCGGACTACGCGTCGCCGGGCAAGGTGACGAGCGCTCTGATTGCTAAGATGCTGGCGAGCAAGATGCCTGGCGGTTTCAGTTTGTCTGCCATCAAGGAGTACTTGTCTAGTGAACGCTGCCTGCCGAGCAGCCGCATCGAAAGTGTGCTGCTTCACGGTCTCACGCAGAACCCGAAGGCGCGTCTGACCGATGACGCGACGGCGAAGAAGTGGCTAGACGGCGTCGTGGATGACTACGCTAAGCGCGCTGGCATTGATATCCCGTATCTGTCGAAGCTGGGAGGCATGATGGCTGGTCCGGCGATGGGCCAGCAGGTGATGCAGTCGAGCTCGCTGCCCAGCGACTTCGAGAAGCGCTTGAAGACCATGATCGCGGACCAGATCGACGTGCTCAACTCGTACCTGGGCGAGGACCAGTTGGACTGGCACCGCAAGATCGAGACGGAGATGGACATGCGCGAAGAGATGGAGTCTTCGATGTCGCAGTGGGTGACGGAGCATGGAGAGTTTTACAGCACTGGTGTTGTTAGCAAGTTCGACACCAAAAAGGAGCGTCAGTATGATAGCTATTGGAACTGGGCTATGCAGGACGCGATGGAGCTGTACCACCGCGCTGCGGCAGCAACCAAGGACCTGCCTGTGAGCGAGGTCCTTATCACGCACCTTCGCAATCGCGCTACACCGGAACTTGTGCGGTGCCTTCAATACTATGCAGCGCGTGCTGAGAAAGAAGATCGTACTGACATCGCACGGTCGCTCACGGCTCTTGTGATGAACGTGAAAGAGTGGCAAACTGCCAGACCTGTGACCGTGCAACGCTTTGAACCAACCAAGCCTCAACTTCAAATTCTTGAGAACGGTCAACTCGAGTACAGTGAGGTTGCTCGGTACGGCGCAGTGGACTCAATCAACTACGTTGAGGAGATGGCTCGTGGGCTCGAGTACAACTCTTTGATTAAAACTGGAGAGTTTGGTGTGTCTAGTATCGAGAAGAAGGCTGTCGGATATGAACCAAACCCCGCCGACAACGGCAGTACGACAAGCGACGATCTTGACAGTGATGAGGTCGACAGCGGTGAAGATGATGAAGCTTCACTTGAGGAATCAACGGATACCGACGATGCTGTACCGACTGATTGTACTATGAAAGAAACACTGGGCGATTCTCTTCGCAGACGCGCGCAGCTGGAGTCAAATCAGCACTCTATAGTGCACTCGCCTTCGTTGCAGTACCGTATGAACAGAATGCTGAAGAAGACTGTGCTGCCGCATGTGCATGTTCGCAAGCCGTCTGACGTGGACCCAACGATCCGTTTGTATGACGTTGAATCAACCTGCGTGCTGCTGTCGTGCATGCGTGAGATGGCCTCGACGGGTATCTCGTTCGCTGGCAAGGTGGCATTGCTGACTGGGTGCGGTAAGAACTCCATTGCCGCTGAGATCGTCAAGGCGCTTCTAGAAGGTGGCGCCACGGTGTTCGTGACTACGAGTAGCTTCAGTATGACGACGACCGGCCTGTTCCGTGAGATCTACGACCAGCACGGCAGTCGTGGTAGCCGTCTCATCGTACTACCGTTCAATCAGGCGTCTAAGGTGGACGTGCAGAGCCTGGTGGCGCACATTTACGACGTACACAAACTGGATCTGGACTTCGTGATTCCGTTTGCAGCTCTATCGGAGGTCGGACGCACGATCACGGACATCGACTCGCGTTCGGAGTTGGCCCTCCGTATCATGCTGACGAACACGATGCGTTTGCTGGGTGAGGTTGTGACGGCCAAAAAGGCTCGTGACATCACCACTCGCCCTGCACTTGTGATCCTGCCCATGTCGCCGAACCACGGCAACTTCGGGGGAGACGGTCTGTACGCCGAGTCGAAGCTGGGCGTGGAGAGCCTCATGAACAAGTGGTACTCGGAGGGCTGGGATGATCAGCTTTCGATCGTCGGCGCCATTATCGGCTGGACGCGTGGCACGGGCCTCATGTCGGGCAACAACGTGGTTGCTGCCGGTGTCGAGAAGATGGGAATGCGCACGTTCAGTACGACAGAAATGGGTTTCAACCTAAGCGCTTTGATGCACCCAAAAGTTGTGAGGCAAGCAGCGCAGACGCCGATTATCGCAGACCTAACCGGTGGGATGGCACAAGTGAGCGACTTAAAGGACCAGGTGGACTCTATTCGTGCCGATATCGTGAAGAAGTCGAAGCTGCAGGCTTCTATCCATGCTGCACTGGAGAGCGACAAGAAGCTGCTGGCTCTGCCTTCGAAGAAGCAGGTGGCCACTCCCAGCTCGAAGACGTTTGCTCCTCGCGCCAACATGTCGAGCTACTACTGCAACTCGTTCCCGAAGCTGTCGGGTGTGGCTGATCTGTCTGCCTCGAAGAAGCAGGCGCTGCTGCGTGGCATGCTGGACCTGCGTCAGGTTGTGGTCGTCACGGGTTTCGGTGAAGTAAGTCCGTGGGGTAACGCGCGCACGCGTTGGGAGATGGAGTCGTACGGCGAGTTCTCGCTGGAAGGTTGCATCGAGCTGGCGTGGCTGACCGGCCGCGTCGTGTTCGACAAGGGCAACTGGGTGGACGCAAAGACGAAGGAGATCGTGCCGGAACACGAGGTGAAGCCTCGGTACGAGGAGGACATCCTGAAGCACTCGGGTATCCGTATCGTGGAGCCCGAGCTGTTTGACGGCTACGACCCAAAGAACAAGATGGTGCTGCACCAGGTGGCCATCGACAAGAAGATGTCGCCCATTGAGGTGGCTGACCGTGAGGAAGCTCTGCAGTTCCGCGAGGAGCTGGGCAAGGAGAACGTGGACATTTTCCAGAACGCGTCGGGTGCGTGGATGATCCGTCTGCGCAAGGGCTCTGTCCTGAACATTCCTCGTGCTCTCAACTTCGACCGCTTTGTGGCTGGTCAGATCCCGACCGGCTGGAGTGCTGAGCGTCTGGGTCTATCGAAGGATCTGGCGGAGTCGGTGGATCCTACCACACTATACGCGTTGGCGGCTACAATGGATACGTTCGTCGCAGCTGGCGTGACCGACCCGTACGAGTTCTACCAGTACGTGCACGTGTCGGAGGTCGGCAACACGTCCGGCGGTGGTATGGGTGGTTTGCGTTCGCTGACACAGATGTACAAGAACCGACTACTGGGCAAGCCTGCTCCGAGTGACGCGCTGCAGGAGACCTTCATCAATACGCCTCCTGCTTGGGTAAACATGTTACTGCTGAGCTCTTCCGGCCCGATCAAGACTCCCGTTGGTGCTTGTGCGACGGCTGCTGAGTCCGTCGACATCGGCGCAGAGACGATCAAGAGTGGCAAGGCTCGTATCTGCATTGTTGGTGGCTACGATGACTTCGGTGAGGAGGGTGCTTTTGAGTTCGCTCAGATGAAAGCTACTAGTGACTCTGTCAAGGAAACTGGCATGGGCCGTGAACCCAAGGAAATGTGCCGTCCGTGCTCGACTACGCGTGGTGGCTTCATGGAGAGTCATGGTGCGGGTATGCAGCTGCTGATGGACGCTCAGCTTGCTCTGGAAATGGGTCTGCCGATCTATGGTATCGTCGCGCTGACCAGCACTGCAACAGACAAGAACGGCCGATCCGTCCCAGCACCTGGCCAGGGTATCTTGACGACGGCGCGTGAGTCATCGGATAACACGAAGCCGTCGCCTTTGCTAGACGTGGAGTACCGTCGCCGCCAGTTTGACGATGAACTTGAGAGTATTGAGAAGTGGTGTGCTCGTGAGGAGGATCTAAGCAACGGTGACGAATCCCGTCTAGCTTTCGTTGAGAGGAGGAAGTTGCGCAAGGTACAAGCGGCGCAGGCAACTTGGGGCAACGATTTCTACTGTGGTGAAGCGAATATTGCTCCTCTTCGCGGTGCGTTGAGCGTGTGGAACCTCGACATCGATGACGTGGGTGTTGCCAGCTTCCACGGTACGGGCACCAAGGCTAACGACAAGAACGAGAGCGAGGTGACGCACAAGCAGATGGCTCACCTGGGTCGCTCTCCAGGGAACCCGCTGCCTGTCATCTGCCAGAAGAACCTGACGGGCCACCCCAAGGGAGCGGCAGGTGCTTGGATGCTCAACGGATTGCTGCAGGTGCTCAACTCGGGCTTGATCCCAGGCAACCGTCAGCTGGACAACACATGCGAGACCCTGCGCAAGTATGACCAGCTCGTGTACCCGAACCGTAGCTTCCAGACCATGGGCGTCAAGGCCGTGATGATGAAGAGTTTTGGCTTCGGTCAGGCCAGTGGTGAAGTGCTGTTGGTGCACCCGGACTACCTGCTGTCTACGCTGCCAGCTGACGAGCTCCAGCACTACTCGGCTCACCGCGAACAGCGTCTGATCAAGATGAACACGCACACACAGAGCGTGATCACCGGCAAGCATTCGCACATTCAGGTGAAGAACGAGGCGCCGTACTCGTCCGCGCAGGAAAGCAACGTGTATCTGGATCCTACGGCTCGTGCCAAGTACGACGTGACGTCCAAGACGTGGCAATTTGGCGGCGCGGACTCCCTGACTGCGGAGGAAAATCACCGCCCGCGTGCTGAGAAGTGCGCGAAGAAGGCAAAGGCTGCTGTGGAAGCGGCGTCGTCGACAAAAAGGACCTCGGACGCGCACGAGGCTGACTCATCCTCGACGCTGTTGACTGCCATCAACCAAGCGGCGACGGACCTGGGCCTGGCGTCCAAGAACATGGGCATGGGCGTGGATGTGGAGCCCGTGGCCACGTTCGAGAACTTGAACGGCCGTGAGGACTTCATCCGCCGCAACTTTACGGACCAGGAGATGGCGTACTGCTACAGCGCGTCTCACCCGGCCGCGAGCTTCGCCGGTCGCTGGGCTGCCAAGGAGGCTGTGATTAAGGCCATTTCCAGCTCGGCACCGACTGAGCCGAACCTGTGGAAGGGTGCTGGCGCTCCACTCTGTGAGATCGAGATCTGCATGACGGCATCTGGCGCGCCGTCTGTGTTGCTATCTGGTTACCCGCTGCAGGTGTTCAACCGCTTGGGCTTGTGGAAGCTCAGCGTGTCAATTAGTCACTCGGGCGATTTCGCTGTGTCTCAAGCAGTGGCCAAGTTCCAGCACGAATAGATCCAAAGAATTTGCATGTTTGTATATTGTTTCATGTTGTACGCGAACTAAATCGAATGAATTTATGCACTAGCAACATAGTTGCCGCTTTGTTAATGGGCAACTATTGGTAGCACCACCAGTAATCACAAGACACGATGTGCTATCGAAGATGGCCATGACGTTGACCATTACAGCCCACACAAGCGAGAAGGACAGGTAAAATATCGTGAGTCCACCCAGCAACTTGTTGTATCCGCCAGTCCGCAAGAGTTCTTGAGTCTCTCGCTTCTGCTTGGGTAGCAACAGCAGAAAGATCCAAGACACAACCACGCGTTGCATACAATGATAATCGTGTATGTGATGTCGACGTGAATGCAATCCACCACTCTCTCGTCTAACGTACAAATGGGTTTATTATTGGCTAGCTTACAAAAAATGGACGTCGCAAATGAAATCAGAGCAGTGTGCAGGAGGGTTCTTGATGGTTTGTGGACCGGGCCGATTGCGCTTCTTTGCTGTCTGGTCGCTATCATCTTCTCTTCGCTACCAGCGAGTGATGCTAATCGCCAGCGAGTGGATTGAAAAAACACTGTTACAACGGACCTAAAATGTGCTCTAAAATGTCCTTATTGCTCTAAACAAATTGGAGAAATCCTATTGGGGTCGTAATTTTAAATAATTCATTTTTGGGAGCCGTTTGTTTAATTTGATTACGGAAATCACCGTGTTTTGTAAAAATCTAGTTGAGCTCTGTATCCACGTGCACCTGATCATTAAAATCCCCGCTTTACATGGGTTAGTCACAAAAGCTTTTGTGAACAGAACCTGTTTACATGGAACAGTTTGGATTTTACAAAACACGGTGAGCTGCGCTACTAAACTCCAATAATACGGCCTCCGAAAAAAGGCCCCGAAAACGATTTTTTTAGAATACGACGCTGAAAAAGGATTTCCCCCAAAACGCTCGATGGATTAAAATTGAATTGGTAGTATTAAAACGTTTATAATAATAATTGTTTATACCCTTTGGTGTATTTAGCAATGATGAAAATGACGAAGGTATGTACTCTGCGTCTCCACCTTATCCATGTAAAGCTGATGATGCTGTGTCGGTAACTGTACACCCATTATTTGGGGCAGCGTGAGGCGCAGCAATTTGATGAGCAGCTCATGAGTGCATACGAGACATCAATAGCTGGAGCACAAAGCAGTAGTAACAGATTAGTTAGTTGATGTCAGTCTCATTCCAGATAGATACTAATGAATAGGAGGAGCGCAAGATGTGAGTGGTTGTGACTATGAGGGAGAAGGACAGATCCGAGAAGGACTCCGAGGAGCTTCTCAAGAAAGGATCGTGACCATCATTTGGCCTCCCTTGCTTACTGTTGTAAGCCGGAGTAGTCACTGAGAACTGAAAGGGGGTTTTGCCTGCGGGCCTTCCCCGATGAAACACAACTAGCCTCGACTCCATCACTTTTAAATTCTCACTCTGAACAACAAGTCCTTCATCCTAACTACACGACACGCCCGACACCAAAGACAAGACAAGACAACTCTTAAGTGCGGACGAGATCATCACTCTCGTAGGTTCTGAGCCCAAAGCGTGGTATTAAGTATTTTGGTGCAATTGTGGCGAGGCTTTGTGCTTGTGGTAAGGACAAAGAAGTTGTTCAACACCAACACCGGGCACATCCAGCATGTCGACGAGCTCAGGTGGCCAGCAACAACCAGCAGTTGGTCAACAGCAGAATCAACAGCAACAGAACGCGCAACAACAAGGAGCTAACGGTGGAGCCAGAACGAGGCGCGTGTGTGGCTCGAAGTTACCGAAGTACACGAAAGCTGGAGGTTTCGACCTCTATCATGCCCAAATCGAGGGATATCTTGCTCAGCACGGATGTTGGCAAGTTATAAGTGGCAACGCAGTAGACGATCCAAATGACCCTCAATGGATAGAGAGGAACCAATTTGCGCGTTGTGCCTTATTATTTGGCATGCTTCCGAAAGATTCGAAGAAGGTGTGCAGAATGGCAACTGCTCGAGAAATGTGGACATCTTTTGAGCAGGCTAAAACAAAGCGTGCATACGCAAGTGAAATTCGCCTTCGGCGAGATTTGTATGCTGCGAAATTCACTCCTGGTGATGACATGGAAAAATATCTCGAGCGACTCGACGATTTGAGACGTCAATTAGCCAACATGAATGCTGAAGTTACCGACAACGAAATGGTTAATATCGCTCTTCAAGGGGTAGTTGATTCACATCGAAATGTAGTTCAAATGTTTAATCGAAACAACAATGGTGGTGTTGCCCCAGACTTGGCTACATTTGTAAATGTTTTGCTTGGAGAAGCTGAGACGGACAGGGCATGCGCTGCTAATGCAAATAATCAAGTGGAGACTGTGCCAGTAACAAAGGTGATGTCCCAGCGACCCGCCATACAAAACACGAAGAAGCGATTTAGCAAGAAAGGTGGCAGTGGCAAGAAAGTGACACAAGAAAATCGGAAGTGCTTCTTTTGTAGGAAGAAAGGTCATCTGCGAGCAGATTGTTATGGCCGGAAGGCGCTGCAGAAGAAGAATGGTTCCAGCTCCGACGACACTGTCGATCATGAAGGCAGAGAAGTAACGTCAATGAGAATAATTTGGTCTGGAGAACTTGGCGATACTGACAATCCGCCAGTGGCTATACGTATGGCGCGGCCTTCGGACAAAGTTGGTTTCGAAGTAGACCCAGTACATGATTGGATGCTGGATAGTGGTGCAGGTGCACATGTATGTGTCAACGGAGCTTCATTCAGTAAATTGGTCAAGGATCCTTTATTAACACTCGATTGGCAAGGTGGACTGAAAACTAATGAGCTTTCTGGGCCAAATAAACTGGTAATACTTAATGGGAAAGAAGTGGAATTGCCTGAAGTTCGTTATGTACCTGAAGGAGTGACTAATTTAATTAGTCAGCGTCTGTTAGAGCAATCAGGATGGAGACCATCATATTCTGACACAGACAACGAGCGACTACGATGCAAATACTTTGACAAGGACGGAATTCATCTTGAATTCAAGAAGAAAGATGATGGATTCTACTGGATGAAGGCGAGCACTATAGTATCAGTAGCAATGATGGCTGTTCGACATGGTAAAACGTTGGAAAACAGTGCCGTCATGAAATGGCATTTGAAACTGGCACATCTCAACAAAGCTGCAATGAAGAAGATGGTAGTGGATAAACTTACCGAAGGTATGGAAGGACTGAGTCTGAATGATTTCAAAAGGACGCCACTCAAATGCATTGCATGCGATGCTGCAAAGATGAAAAGAATGTCTTTCAAGCGCCAACAAGGAAAACGGTCGACAGAGTGTGGTGCACGTTTGATGTCCGACGTCTGCTATGTCGATATTACAACACCTGGAGGAGCAAAGTATTTTCAATTGGTGCAGGATGAGGCTTCTCGTTTCAAATGGGTCTTCCTGCTTCAGAAGAAGAGTGAGGCCGCAGAAAATGTTATGAATTTGATTCGTCAAGTTGAGAAAGACTTCAAAGTTAAGATGTTCTCGTGTGACCAAGGAGGTGAATTTTTAAATCGAGCGTTGACTACCTTCTTTCGCGAACAAGGAATAAAACTGTTGACGACAAATGCTTACACCCCGGAGGAGAACTGTTTGGTGAAAAAGCTCAACGGTAAACTTCTCAGCAAAGTTCGAGCGATAAGGGAAGCAGCGAATTTACCAGCGTGTTTATGGGGTGAAATATTGCACTATGTGGTGCACGTGGACAACAGAAGCGTGACTAAAGCCCTGACGAATATGACACCGTACGAGAAGTTGTGGAGCCGTAAACCAGATATGAAAGACTTGAAGGTATGTGGATGTGTAGCATATCATCATTTGCCAAAGGAGAACAAGTTGGAAATGCGAGCCAAACCTGCAAATTTTCTTGGTTTGGCCGATTCAACATTAGGATATCGACTTTTGGACCTCCAGACAGGAGAAATTCTCCAGCGCAGATCGGTTCAATTTCATGAGGATGTAGCTGTGGGAGGAGATTATGTGGAAACGCTACTTGGTCAGCGATACTATGTTAAAAACACTGCTGCACCTCTTGAAATTCCCTACGTCCGGCTTCCTGTCAAACGTGTAGCAGTGTTAGATAACATGCCACAGGCAATTGAACCATCAGTGGTTAATGTTGACCCACAGGCAATTGAGCCATCAGTGGTTCATGCTGACGAAGAAGAGAAACGTCCTGTGTCTATTGATGACGATGTAAGCATGAGTAGCAGTGACGAAAGTGAGTGGGAGTGCGTTGAGACGATTGAAGCTGATGGCGGAGCATGTTGTGCCACTAATGCTCCAAGCCAAAATGTGAACTTAGAATCACAGACTGTTCAACCTGGTGGGAGTGTGATAGTTGACGGTGGACATGCTGCTACAGCTCCGCGTAGATCTGGCAGGCAACGCCGATCGAGCAATAGATATAATCCCAATATATGGGTGATGTCAATGACGCTGATGCAGTGCATGCTGATTGGAGTCGTCAATGATATTCTGAACCCCACAACGCAAAAAGAAGCTCTAGCGTCAGAGCATGACGAAGGCTGGCGCCATGCAATGGATTTGGAGTATGAAGCGTTGATGAAGAACGAGACTTGGGATCTAGTGCCACGTTCGAAACAAAGGAAAGGTCGACGTCGGGCAAACATACTAACATCGGTGTGGGTCTTGGTGGTGAAAAGAAACGAGAAGGGAGAAGCTGGCAGACGGAATGCAAGGCTTGCTATACGAGGTTTTTATCAGAAGTTTGGAATTGATTATATCGCTACTTACTCTCCTGTTGTCTGAATTGAGTCGGTTCGTCTGGTCATGCTGATGGCTATGCTACTGGGTTTAAAGTGCAAGCATGTCGATTTTGTGACAGCCTTTCAAAATGGTGAACTGGTTGATGTAGTAATTTTACATGGATCAACCTAGGAAAGCCGAAGATGGAGCGGACCGTGTATGCAGACTACGCAAAGGTCTTTATGGATTGAAACAAGCGTCGAAGATATGGAATGATACACTACACAAAGTCTTAGTGAAACTTGGTTTCGTACAGTGTACGTTTGATGCAGGAGTGTATTGGAGACGATGTCAAGGACGTGTGATGTTCCTTACAGTGTACGTTGATGATATCATAATTGCCGGGATTCCAAATGACATTGAAGAAGTCATTTTACAGCTTGCAGCTTGGTTTAAGCTGAAAGATTTGGGTCGAGTGCGACACCTTCTTGGAATGGAAGTAAACTACATGCCTGGACGAATGGTTTGCCTTTTCCAGACGGCGTACATTGAGCGGTTAGCAGATAAGTTTGGCCTGCAATCAGCAAGATCAGTTCGTTCACCACAGTTTCATCATGAAAAGCCTACTAAGATCGAGACGGAATTGACCAAGATCAACGACCCAGCATTTCCCTACAAAGAGATCGTGGGATCACTACAGTATCTTGTTGCTTGTACAAGACCTGATTTGGCTCATGTAGTGAGAGCTTTGGGCCGATATATGAGTGCCTACAGCATTGAGAACTATCGAGCGGCACAGCGAGTAGTGCGCTACGCATTGGCTACAAAGAATATGGGATTGGTGTATCGAGTGAATTCTGAGTCTGTTGTGATGGATGCATTTTGTGATGCGGACCATCAGTCGTGTCCGGAAACGAGTAGATCTGTGACAGGATACCTTCTACGTCTACATGGCAACACGTGGATGTGGAAAAGTAATGGTCAACGCCGTGTGACGTAGGACACATGCAGTTCTGAATTGGTTGCATGTTGCGAGTGTACTAAGATGGTTGTATGGGCAAGAGAACTTGTGCTGGAACTGGGTTTTAGTGGTCAAGAGCTACAAGTACCGATTCACTGCGACAACCAAAGTGCTATCGCTGTAGTGGCATGCAACGGCAACACATCGAGAGTGAGACATATGGCAACGCATGCACATTTCATCAATGAGTATATTCAAGCAAAGGAATTGGATTTGGTGTACGTGCAGAGTACTGAAAATCTAGCTGACATTTTTACTAAGGCGCTAGGTCCTGCAGAGTTTGAGCGTCAGCGAAGTCGGCTCAATGTGGAAGACGTACCTAGTGCTTGGGCTAAGGTTGTGGCCTCTGCTCGAGAGCACGCAGTCTTGAAAGACGTCGAAATGGAAGAAGCCTGACAAGCATGATCGCAGCTATTCCGGACGGTATTGTTGTGCTAGTGAAGGGATAGTATCGGATCTGGTATGGAGTGGGAGTACGAGACATCAATAGCTGGAGCACAAAGCAGTAGTAACAGATTAGTTAGTTGATGTCAGTCTCATTCCAGTTAGATACTAATGAATAGGAGGAGCGCAAGATGTGAGTGGTTGTGACTATGAGGGAGAAGGACAGATCCGAGAAGGACTCCGAGGAGCTTCTCAAGAAAGGATCGTGACCATCATTGGTCCTCCCTTGCTTACTTTTGTAAGCCGGAGTAGTCACTGAGAACTGAAAGGGGTTTTTGCCTGCGGGTCTTCCCCGATGAAACACAACTAGCCTCGACTTCATCACTTTTAAATTCTCACTCTGAACAACAAGTCCTTCATCCTAACTACACGACACGCCCGACACCAAAGACAAGACAACTCTTAAGTGCGGACGAGACCATCACTCTCGAAATTAAAACGTGTTACTTCGAAGTATAATAATACTGTACTTCGAAGTAATTGTTTATACCCTTTGGTGTATTTAGCAATGATGAAAATGACGAAGGTATGTACTCTGCGTCTCCACCTTATCCATGTAAAGCTGCTGATGCTGTGTCGGTGAATGTACACCCAGTATTTGGGGCAGCGTGAGGCGCAGCAATTTGATGAGCAGCTCATGAGTGCTGCACACGGCTTCAGCATCCATCAGCTGATGGAGCTTGCGGGACTCAGTGTGGCTGCCGCAATCGGGAAGCAGTTCCCCAATACTGAGGAATCAACAGCTACGACTGGTAGATTCAAGCGTGTATTGGTGGTTGCAGGCCCTGGTAACAACGGGTCAGACTAGAAACTGGGAGATATTGAGAACGTGGACTGACAATTAATTTCCCTTTGTCCTATAATAGAGGTGACGCGTTGGTAGCAGCGCGTCATTTGGTGGTAGGTTCTCTTATTGTGCCGACTATTGTGGTTGGTTCGCGTGTATTGATGGTGTTCGTTGCAGCATTTCGGCTACACGCTGAGTATCTTATACCCGAAGCGCAGTGCGAAACCTCTTTTCCAGGTTTTGACTGGCAATTTTGCTTTGATTTTGGTGAGGTGTTGATCGAAAGCTATCAAATTCGTTACTTTTCGATAGGGTCTGGTGACGCAGTGTGAACAGTTAAAGATCCCATTCATTGAGCAGATTCAGGACGCGTACAGATGAGATGGCCCTTATTTTTTTTTCAGTGATAGTGTTGATCATGTGGTGGTTGGTATGTGCAGCTCGGCTGTAGATGCCGCGTACGACTTAATCCTGGACGGCATCTTTGGATTCAGCTTCTGTGGGAGCATTCGCCCCCCATTTGATCACGTCGTTGGAACTCTCCAAAAGTGCCAGACTCCGATCGTCTCCATTGACATTCCGTCGGGGTGGCACGTTGAGAAGGGTGCGGCTCGAACATGAATCTTTCTCAGATCTTCTGCTACTTTTTACATGATCTCAGTTTTCAATGTGTGTGTGTTTTTTTAAGGGAACGAAAATGGAGTCGGCTTGGAGCCACAGATGCTGATCTCGCTGACAGCACCGAAACTCTGCGCGAAGTTTTTTACTGGCCCTGAAAAGGTTCACTATGTCGGAGGTCGATTCGTGCCCGAGTAAGTTTGTTTTCGCTAGCATGATGGAGCTACCAGACCCACCAAAAAAATTGTGTCGTTTGTAGATCGCTGGCTCAAGAGTTCAATCTGGATCTGCCCGAATACCCCGGTGTGGAGCAGTGCGTGAAGCTGCCAATTCCATATTGAAGCCAACAAGGGTCTCGTGCGTGACTGCGAGTACATGAACTCGGCTCCTTCTTGTAAAGTTGACACTTTTTCAGCTTTCGAACACGATCAACAAATAGTTTTTGTAATCCAATTAATGCCACTGCACTGCAGCTTGCAGCACTTTAACTACATGTCCATGTCTGTTTACCATCGTCGTGATCGTCTCGTCTCAGTACGAAGTGCGCAGTCAGTAGATGCCCGACTTATCACGATTTCGCTGCCATGCAGTTATTGGCTCTTTGCACGCGTCTTTTGAAAAGTAATTGGCCAACGATAGATCACCCACACGCCTGCAATTAGTCGATAGGCTAGTCATTGCACTCTCCACACGCTCACTACAGAATGTAGTACAGTAGTCGGTGACAGCGACACGAGCTTCTTCTTGGTCCTCCAAGGACCAAGGCATGGCCTCGGTGGAAGCAAGAAAACATGTCTTCATGTCGACACTCAAAACACCGAGACGTAAATTATTGGCAGTCGGAAAGGATACCGTGAGCTCTTCCATGTGTTACTAGTATATTACGTCTACATCCAAGGGCCTGGCTCACAGAGTGACTATCGAATTTCAAAAGAACAACATCAGCAGCTGTATCACCTGACAAGGTCCCGTCTTCACCCTTGCTTGGAGATGAGTTTGACGTGATTCACTTCAAATTCATCTCCAGCATTTAGTACTACATGTACTAGATGTTATCTGCACCACCAGTGCTACAGTCATTCATCAATCTGCCAGGTCCTCCTCAAGTGGCAAACCCAATATGGCAGGACCAACAAAGAATCCTGAGTCTGCGGTACGATTGTCGTTGATCAGTGCCAATTCGCAACCAAAAGACTTGGAAGAAGGAGACTATGTCGGTGTCAAGACTCCAGAGCAGAGTGGATACTCGGATCATGGCGCTCTACGTCCTGGAGGTGATCCGACCATTACGAGCAGAGCCAACATTGGACTGTTGTATCAGTACGCAGTTGTGGGCTTCATCTCCGGTGTACTTCCGTCCACGATCTACCCGCTCCTTCAGATGTACCTGAATTGTAGTGGAGCACAAATGGCCACTGCATCGACTTAAGTGTCGCTTCCTTCCAGCTTCAAGGTGTTTTTCGGAATCCTCTCGGATTGCTTCCCCATCTTCGGCAACCGACGTCGTCCGTACATGGTCATCGGATGGTCTATCTCAGTGGCCATGCTTCTCGTGATGGCATGCATGCCCATTGGCGATCCGTACTATACGGAAGCTTCGGATCGCTACGTCGATACACCCCTGAGATCGAAGCTCGAATCAACTACGACGCTCCGTCCGAAGCAGGTAAATACGTCATTCTTATGTTCTTCGCCGCAGTTGGGTACGTTCTCTCGGACGCGAGTGCCGACGCGATTATGGCAGGTTTGGCTCAACAAGAGTCGTTTGCGAGACGAGGAAAACTTCAAACCATGACGTACACAGTACAGACGTTCGTGACGGTGATCAGCTACCTGCTTGTCGGCTTTTGCTTCAATGGTGAGGAGTACGGTGGAAATTTCGACTACTCGCTGAGCTTTCCCGAGCTTATGGGGATTCTTACAGTTCTCACAGCCCCGACAATCCCAATCACCTGGATCTTCATTAAGGAAGACCAACTGGAAGTACCTCCGGACTTAAAGGACTACATGGTGGGCTTATGGAACCAGATCTGTAAGCGAGCAGTGTTCCAGGTCATCGCAGCCTTGTTCTTCTACACTTTGATCTGCAATATCTCGTACACAGCGTACTCGCCCATTCAATCGTACATGGTGAACGTGACCCCCATCAACAGCACGCTCGGAGACGCATTGAGCTATCTCTTCTACATGTTCGGTATGATGGCTACATCCAGATGGGGTTTGCATTGGAATTGGCGAGTGATGATAATCATCACGGGCATCATCTTGATCGTTATCGACGGCACCTGCAACCTCCTCATCGTCTGGAACGTGTATCGCAGTCAATGGTTTTGGCTCGGTCCGCCTATTGTCGCCCAACTTCCCAATGGTATCAGCTTTATGGTCAGTACCTTGGTGATCGTAGAGCTTATTGGTGAAGGTTACGAGGGCGCTATGTACGGACTCATGACTACGATCTCGGGCATCGCGTCTTCGTTTGCGACGTCGCTCACTGTCATCATCAACAACCCGTTCAATATCACCAACGAACGCGTGCAGGAGGACGATCATTCCATTCACGTGGACATCACATACACGATTATTATTGCATACAGCGCGATGGTTGTGTCTTGGATCTTTCTGCTGTTGCTGCCCAAGCAGAAGCGAGAGACTCAAGAGCTCTTGCGGACTGGCGGATCGAACAAGTTGCTGGGTGGACTCACGATATTTTACCTGTCCTTCTCGCTGGTGTGGGCTGTAATGGTCAACGTCATGGCCATCTTCGATAGCACTTCGTGTCTTGTGATTGCTGGTGGGGACGGGTGCTAAGTTAGCACTGCTAACTAAGTGGATGTTGATAATTCATAAATTCCTTCAATAAAGTTAGCGTAAGTTGTACGGTACAACATCTACAAGCATGTCAAGTATACAGGATACACAAAAGCTTTTTGTAAGTTTTTGGAAGTAAACAGGATATACAAAAGGTTTTTGTAACTTAGTTATAATGGTTGGGAGGGGCAAATGGTAACCAAATATCATTAGATATTTTTGATAGTAGTACTACTACTTTTGATATTAAATATGAGTAGTAGCTCATTTTAAAAAAATTAAAATAATATTTCTAATATTAATTTAGTGATTTAAAAATATTAGATACTTGAAGATATTTTATGATATTTCCCACTTAAGTACGTTTTTACCACCTTATCCTTTGCTGAGGCTCACAAAAGAACTCTTTCGGTCAGGTTCTTGAACAGCAGTAGACCTTAAGACTGACGAGTATTTGATCTACATCTTTTCAACTTCAAAATGGCGACAGGTAAAATCAAAGTGACAAAACGTAAGTTCAAAATGACATCGAACATAGGAGCCAGCAAAGCCAAACTTGATATTGTCTTTATTCTCCTACAGGCATATCTTTCATCTGGATCGCACGCGCATGGAACTTCATGGTGTGCAACGAGCACTTGTAGCAAAGTTCTGGGGTGATAGCTTCGAGTACGAGGAGGTCTGCAGCCAGCTTTAGGTAGCTTTCACGGTGCGCCTTGATGGTGAGGTGCGGTGGGACGCGTAGAATAGCTTGACGATGGCGAGCGAGGAACCGCTTCACCATGGCTTTGAACGATGAGAAGCAGTTCTCGATGGGGTTCAGCATTGGCGGGTACGGACCTAGGCGCAGCAGCGTCGCCGCCGAAAACGTGGTTTCCTTGAATACATCCTCGATGTTCGCGTGGCATGGTGCATTGTCGCACACCAAAACAACGTTCTCTAGCGGCGTTGAAGCACCGATGTGGTTGAGCAGGCGACGGATGTACTCGTTGCATGCTTCCGACGTGAAAGAGCCAAAGCGCTTCTCCGAGTAAGCAAGCCCTTCCTCTGAAATGCAAGCGATCACGTGGATATTTGACCCTTTGCTGGCTGTGTTGTTGTCGACAGCTCGCTTCCCTTTCTTGCTACGACCACGGCGGCGAGCACACCACAAATTGAAGTTAGTTTCGTCAACGTAGAAGATCTTCTTACCTGCGGCCTTCTGAGCAATTAGCTCGACGACGTAATCCCGGCGCAAAATCTTGTTCTCCTCAAGATTGCGGTAGTTGTTGTCGCGATGGGTTTGCTTGACCGTGTACATCCGGCCGTCAATGTGTGTCTTGACCGTCTGTCTTGTCACCTTGAGCGCGAATCGAGCCTCGAGGGCGTCAACCATCTCGTCCAGCGTGATGTAACAGTTGTCGTCGATGAGACCAACTAGGTAGTCGACGTGCTCGTCTTGAATCTTGCTGTGGCGCTTACCACCACGAGGCTTTCGAGGCAGAGCCTCCCAGTTGCCGCTGTCCTCGGCCGCATTGATCCAGCGGTAAGCAGTGCGAAGCTTGACATCGTTCTTGAGCGCGACATCGCGCCAATCTTGGCCTTCGTGAGCTGCACGGAGAACCCGTCGAACGGTAGCGTCGTCGTACAGCATTGCTGTGTGGGTAGGAAGCACAGTGAGAATTGCTAAATGAGTGAAAGGCAGTGCGGCCACAAACTGCAGCAACAGTGTCCACTGATTCCATCGACGCCGTACAGCCAGCCAGCGTCCACCAAAATTGGCGGGAGTAGTTGCCGCCACTTTTTGCCTCTTTCATCTAATGAACTCCAAACGTAAATACTCCCATAAATATTAAGTGTCAGTGTCATGTCATTTTGAACTTACGTTTTGTCACTTTGATTTTACCTGTCGCCATTTTGAAGTTGAAAAGGTGTAGTATTTCACTGTGACACAAAGTCGATCGAGATGGAAAGCTGCAAACGCTTGCAGTTGTTTAATGTCGATAGAGCGAAATCAAGGTATTTGTTCTTGTTCTCTACCGATAGCCTCGTCCACATCGTGCGTCTAATAAATCTGTAGCCTGTAACGCTACGATCAGTGGCCTGTACAGGGGTTAATGGTATTGTGCCTTTCCAAAGTTTTGGGAACGGAGTTGAATTGCTAAGCCAGGCCACTTAATAAAATGATATTTGACCAATAACACTGCTTAATTTTGCCGACTATGATCCAATAATACTTGATTGTGGAGGCCCTACGTAAGGGCTCCGATTTGGTCTAAAGGGTACCTTTTAACAAATTAAGGGCTGAATGGCCAGTATTTGCCGGCCATTTACCCTTACGTAAGGTATCCATAAGTTGTGGATATCAATCTGTTGTGGACCACAACAGATTGATTTTAAATCAAATATGCCGCTACTCATTAGACATCGCTGGCGAGGCAAGAGTATGTGAACAGGCTATTGCCGGGCCAGATCAAATCGTGTTTGTCGATGAAACTTCAAAGGATGGAAGATATTGTACAATACCAATTTTGTGACTGCTACATCTTACCTTGTTAATTTGCTGTATGGTATTGCTATGGTTTAGGTCCTACAATTAGGCTCTTACAAAACACGGTGGTTTCCGCAATCAAAGGCTCCCGAAAAAAACGGCCCCGAAAACGAATTATTTAAAATTAGGGCCCCGATAAGGATTTCTCCTTTTCATTTTAGAGCAATAAGGGCATTTTCGAGCACATTTTAGGTACGTTTTAACAGTTTTTTATGCTGCTGATTTCCATTTTTGTAAGCTAACCAACAATAAACCTATTAATACTTGTACCTTAGACCTCCTTTTCAGCATCAAAGCTACAACACGTTCGATATCACCAACGAACGCGTGCAGGAGGACGATCATTCCATTCACGTGGACATCACATACACGATTATTATTGCATACAGCGCGATGGTTGTGTCTTTGATCTTTCTGCTGTTGCTACCCAAGCAGAAGCGAGAGACTCAAGAACTCTTGCGGACTGGCGGATACAACAAGTTGCTGGGTGGACTCACGATATTTTACCTGTCCTTCTCGCTTGTGTGGGCTGTAATGGTCAACGTCATGGCCATCTTCGATAGCACATCGTGTCTTGTGATTACTGGTGGTGCTACCAATAGTTGCCCATTAACAAAGCGGCAACTATGTTGTTAGTGCATAAATTCATTCGATTTAGTTCGCGTACAACATTAAACAATATACAAAATATGCAAATTCTTTGGATCTATTCGTGCTGGAACTTGGCCACTGCTTGAGACACAGCGAAATCGCCCGAGTGACTAATTGACACGCTGAGCTTCCACAAGCCCAAGCGGTTAAACACCTGCAGCGGGTAACCAGATAGCAACACAGACGGCGCGCCAGATGCCGTCATGCAGATCTCGATCTCACAGAGTGGAGCGCCAGCACCCTTCCACAGGTTCGGCTCAGTCGGTGCCGAGCTGGAAATGGCCTTAATCACAGCCTCCTTGGCAGCCCAGCGACCGGCGAAGCTCGCGGCCGGGTGAGACGCGCTGTAGCAGTACGCCATCTCCTGGTCCGTAAAGTTGCGGCGGATGAAGTCCTCACGGCCGTTCAAGTTCTCGAACGTGGCCACGGGCTCCACATCCACGCCCATGCCCATGTTCTTGGACGCCAGGCCCAGGTCCGTCGCCGCTTGGTTGATGGCAGTCAACAGCGTCGAGGACGAGTCAGCCTCGTGCGCGTCCGAGGTCCTTTTTGTCGACGACGCCGCTTCCACAGCAGCCTTCGCCTTCTTCGCGCACTTCTCAGCACGCGGGCGGTGATTTTCCTCCGCAGTCAGGGAGTCCGCGCCGCCAAATCGCCACGTCTTGGACGTCACGTCGTACTTGGCACGAGCCGTAGGATCCAGATACACGTTGCTTTCCTGCGCGGACGAGTACGGCGCCTCGTTCTTCACCTGAATGTGCGAATGCTTGCCGGTGATCACGCTCTGTGTGTGCGTGTTCATCTTGATCAGACGCTGTTCGCGGTGAGCCGAGTAGTGCTGGAGCTCGTCAGCTGGCAACGTAGACAGCAGGTAGTCCGGGTGCACCAACAGCACTTCACCACTGGCCTGACCGAAGCCAAAACTCTTCATCATCACGGCCTTGACGCCCATGGTCTGGAAGCTACGGTTCGGGTACACGAGCTGGTCATACTTGCGCAGGGTCTCGCATGTGTTGTCCAGCTGACGGTTGCCTGGGATCAAGCCCGAGTTGAGCACCTGCAGCAATCCGTTGAGCATCCAAGCACCTGCCGCTCCCTTGGGGTGGCCCGTCAGGTTCTTCTGGCAGATGACAGGCAGCGGGTTCCCTGGAGAGCGACCCAGGTGAGCCATCTGCTTGTGCGTCACCTCGCTCTCGTTCTTGTCGTTAGCCTTGGTGCCCGTGCCGTGGAAGCTGGCAACACCCACGTCATCGATGTCGAGGTTCCACACGCTCAACGCACCGCGAAGAGGAGCAATATTCGCTTCACCACAGTAGAAATCGTTGCCCCAAGTTGCCTGCGCCGCTTGTACCTTGCGCAACTTCCTCCTCTCAACGAAAGCTAGACGGGATTCGTCACCGTTGCTTAGATCCTCCTCACGAGCACACCACTTCTCAATACTCTCAAGTTCATCGTCAAACTGGCGGCGACGGTACTCCACGTCTAGCAAAGGCGACGGCTTCGTGTTATCCGATGACTCACGCGCCGTCGTCAAGATACCCTGGCCAGGTGCTGGGACGGATCGGCCGTTCTTGTCTGTTGCAGTGCTGGTCAGCGCGACGATACCATAGATCGGCAGACCCATTTCCAGAGCAAGCTGAGCGTCCATCAGCAGCTGCATACCCGCACCATGACTCTCCATGAAGCCACCACGCGTAGTCGAGCACGGACGGCACATTTCCTTGGGTTCACGGCCCATGCCAGTTTCCTTGACAGAGTCACTAGTAGCTTTCATCTGAGCGAACTCAAAAGCACCCTCCTCACCGAAGTCATCGTAGCCACCAACAATGCAGATACGAGCCTTGCCACTCTTGATCGTCTCTGCGCCGATGTCGACGGACTCAGCAGCCGTCGCACAAGCACCAACGGGAGTCTTGATCGGGCCGGAAGAGCTCAGCAGTAACATGTTTACCCAAGCAGGAGGCGTATTGATGAAGGTCTCCTGCAGCGCGTCACTCGGAGCAGGCTTGCCCAGTAGTCGGTTCTTGTACATCTGTGTCAGCGAACGCAAACCACCCATACCACCGCCGGACGTGTTGCCGACCTCCGACACGTGCACGTACTGGTAGAACTCGTACGGGTCGGTCACGCCAGCTGCGACGAACGTATCCATTGTAGCCGCCAACGCGTATAGTGTGGTAGGATCCACCGACTCCGCCAGATCCTTCGATAGACCCAGACGCTCAGCACTCCAGCCGGTCGGGATCTGACCAGCCACAAAGCGGTCGAAGTTGAGAGCACGAGGAATGTTCAGGACAGAGCCCTTGCGCAGACGGATCATCCACGCACCCGACGCGTTCTGGAAAATGTCCACGTTCTCCTTGCCCAGCTCCTCGCGGAACTGCAGAGCTTCCTCACGGTCAGCCACCTCAATGGGCGACATCTTCTTGTCGATGGCCACCTGGTGCAGCACCATCTTGTTCTTTGGGTCGTAGCCGTCAAACAGCTCGGGCTCCACGATACGGATACCCGAGTGCTTCAGGATGTCCTCCTCGTACCGAGGCTTCACCTCGTGTTCCGGCACGATCTCCTTCGTCTTTGCGTCCACCCAGTTGCCCTTGTCGAACACGACGCGGCCGGTCAGCCACGCCAGCTCGATGCAACCTTCCAGCGAGAACTCGCCGTACGACTCCATCTCCCAACGCGTGCGCGCGTTACCCCACGGACTTACTTCACCGAAACCCGTGACGACCACAACCTGACGCAGGTCCAGCATGCCACGCAACAGCGCCTGCTTCTTCGAGGCAGACAGATCAGCCACACCCGACAGCTTCGGGAACGAGTTGCAGTAGTAGCTCGACATGTTGGCGCGAGGAGCAAACGTCTTCGAGCTGGGAGTGGCCACCTGCTTCTTCGAAGGCAGAGCCAGCAGCTTCTTGTCGCTCTCCAGTGCAGCATGAATAGAAGCCTGCAGCTTCGACTTCTTCACGATATCGGCACGAATAGAGTCCACCTGGTCCTTTAAGTCCTTCACTTGTGCCATCCCACCGGTTAGGTCTGCGATAATCGGCGTCTGCGCTGCTTGCCTCACAACTTTTGGGTGCATCAAAGCGCTTAGGTTGAAACCCATTTCTGTCGTACTGAACGTGCGCATTCCCATCTTCTCGACACCGGCAGCAACCACGTTGTTGCCCGACATGAGGCCCGTGCCACGCGTCCAGCCGATAATGGCGCCGACGATCGAAAGCTGATCATCCCAGCCCTCCGAGTACGCCGACGATCGAAAGCTGATCATCCCAGCCCTCCGAGTACCACTTGTTCATGAGGCTCTCCACGCCCAGCTTCGACTCGGCGTACAGACCGTCTCCCCCAAAGTTGCCGTGGTTCGGCGACATGGGCAGGATCACAAGTGCAGGGCGAGTGGTGATGTCACGAGCCTTTTTGGCCGTCACAACCTCACCCAGCAAACGCATCGTGTTCGTCAGCATGATACGGAGGGCCAACTCCGAACGCGAGTCGATGTCCGTGATCGTGCGTCCGACCTCCGATAGAGCTGCAAACGGAATCACGAAGTCCAGATCCAGTTTGTGTACGTCGTAAATGTGCGCCACCAGGCTCTGCACGTCCACCTTAGACGCCTGATTGAACGGTAGTACGATGAGACGGCTACCACGACTGCCGTGCTGGTCGTAGATCTCACGGAACAGGCCGGTCGTCGTCATACTGAAGCTACTCGTAGTCACGAACACCGTGGCGCCACCTTCTAGAAGCGCCTTGACGATCTCAGCGGCAATGGAGTTCTTACCGCACCCAGTCAGCAATGCCACCTTGCCAGCGAACGAGATACCCGTCGAGGCCATCTCACGCATGCACGACAGCAGCACGCAGGTTGATTCAACGTCATACAAACGGATCGTTGGGTCCACGTCAGACGGCTTGCGAACATGCACATGCGGCAGCACAGTCTTCTTCAGCATTCTGTTCATACGGTACTGCAACGAAGGCGAATGTACTTCAGAGTGCCGATTTGACTCGAGCTGCGCGCGTCTACGAAGAGCATCTCCAAGTGTTTCTATCCGAGTATTTCCAATCTGTAAAATACCATTGGTATCCGTTGATTCCTCATGTGCAGCATCATCATCTTTACCGCTGTCGGCCTCATCACTGTCAAGATCCTCGCTCGTCGTACTGCCGTTGTCGGTCGGGTTTGGTTCATATCCGACAGCCTTCTTCTCGATACTAGACGCACCGAACTCTCCAGTTTTAATCAAAGAGTTGTACTCGAGCCCACGAGCCATCTCCTCAACGTAGTTGATTGAGTCCACTGCGCCGTACCGAGCAACCTCACTGTACTCGAGTTGACCGTTCTCAAGAATTTGAAGTTGAGGCTTGGTTGGTTCAAAGCGTTGCACGGTCACAGGTCTGGCAGTTTGCCACTCTTTCACAAGAGCCGTGAGCGACCGTGCGATGTCAGTACGATCTTCTTTCTCAGCACGCGTTGCATAGTATTGAAGGCACCGCACAAGTTCCGGTGTAGCGCGATTGCGAAGGTGCGTGATAAGGACCTCGCTCACAGGCACGTCCTTGGTTGCTACCGCAGCGCGGTGGTACAGCTCCATCGCGTCCTGCATAGTCCAGTTCCAATAGCTATCATACTGACGCTCCTTTTTGGTGTCGAACTTGCTAACAACACCAGTGCTGTAAAACTCTCCATGCTCCGTCACCCACTGCGACATCGAAGACTCCATCTCTTCGCGCATGTCCACCTCCGTCTCGATCTTGCGGTGCCAGTCCAACTGGTCCTCGCCCAGGTACGAGTTGAGCACGTCGATCTGGTCCGCGATTATGGTCTTCAAACGCTTCTCAAAGTCGCTGGGCAGCGAGCTCGACTGCATCACCTGCTGGCCCATCGCCGGACCAGCCATCATGCCTCCCAGCTTCGACAGATACGGGATATCAATGCCAGCGTGCTTAGCGTAGTCATTCACGACGCCGTCTAGCCACTTCTTCGCCGTCGCGTCATCAGTCAGACGCGCCTTCGGGCTCTGCGTGAGACCGTGAAGCAGCACACTTTCGATGCGGCTGCTCGGCAGGCAGCGTTCACTAGACAAGTACTCCTTGATGGCAGACAAACTGAAACCGCCAGGCATCTTGCTCGCCAGCATCTTGGCAATCAGAGCGCTCGTCACCTTGCCCGGCGACGCGTAGGCCGGGAACTTGCCGGCTAGCTCAGCCAGCTTCATCTCCGCTGCATCATCCGGGCCAGAGCCGAACTCCTTCTCCAAGTCGCCAACAATCTCGTTCTGCACGGCCGACTTGCCCGCAGACAGCTCTTTGATAGTCGCAGTCTCCGGGACCTCGATGAAAGCCTTGCCGAACTTGGCTGCCAGCATGACCAGCAGAGCGTGCTTGGCCTCCACCGGCTTGTCAGTCACCGTCGGGATCGACACTGGGGCAGGGTTGAAGGACATGCTCACAGCACCGGGCGAAGCAGCCATCGTCGGACGGTCAAGCGAGATGCCAGCGAATGAAGCGTAGCCGCTCACACTCTCGTCCAGCCACTTGCGCGCGTCCGCGTCGCTCTTGAAACGCGTCTGCGGGGCCAGCAGTAGAGAGTGAGCCAACACGCTCTCCATGCGTCCAGCACCGAGACCCTTCTCCGAGCCCAGGTACTCCTTGATACTCGACATCGTGAAGCCACCAGGCATTTTGCTCGCCACCACCTTGTTGATGAGACCATTCGTCACCTTACCAAGCGTGTTGTAGCCAGAGAACTTGGACGCCAGCTCCTTCAGCGGCACCTCACCAGCGCCCTCAGGAACACCGCCGCCGAACTCCTTTTCGAGGTCACCAGGATCTCGTTCTGCACAGCAGACTTACCAGCACACAGCGTCTTGACGTCCGTTTCTTCCTTGATCTTAGTCAGCTCCCTGTTCAGACGCACAGCGAGAAGCACACGCAGGACGTGGAGAGCGGACACCGGAGCATCGGCAGCCGAAGGAGCAGCAGCGGCGGGAACAGGAACCGGAGCAGCTTGCACCTGAACAGGTGCAGCAACCGGTGCCGGAGCCAGGGCCTCCTCAACCTTCGGAGCAGACTCGGCAGCAACCTTCGCAGCTTCAACAGCAGCCTCGGTAGCCAGACCACGGGCGTACTCGGCAGCAGAGATGTAGGCCGTCTCCTCCTCGAAGTGCACAGCCTCGCGGTCACGCTGGTACCACAAAATCTCACGCGACACATCGGGGAAGTCGCCAACCTTGACAGTACGCAGCGCCATGTTCGTCAACGTCGGAGCAGGGCCGATCTCCACAAAGCGACGAACATCGCCTTTCAAAAACAGCAGCGCCTGCGTCTTGATCCACTGGACGGGCGACGCGAATTGGTACGCCAGCAGCTCCACCACAAGCAAGTGCGCGAGCTGAGCCTTCGACGCCAACTTCCACTGCATGGGGTTCAGAACCTCCTCTAGGTACGGACTCTTGGTCGCAGCGTAGACTTCCTCAAAGTATGAGCGCTTCAGCGAGAACGGAGTCGCCACCAGGTTCGGGATGTAGCGATCCACCAGAAGCGGCAGCTGGCGCTCCAGCACCTGCGGGTCGAACTTGGTACGCAGCAGCGCACGGAACGACGGCACACCACCAAGCAGCTCACGCGAGTGGAACGGCACGTCAATACCGACCAGCGGGATCGTCGCCAGGCCGCGCGCAAGCGTAAACGGACGGCCAGTCTGCTCGCACGTGTGCTTGCGGGCACGAGCTTGTGCCAACGAGTCGGCCATAACCTTCTCCACGTCGTCAGCAGCAGTTGACTTCAGCGTCTTGATGGCAGATAACGCCAGCGACAGCGTCTCCAGGTTCACATTATCACCAGCAACAACATACTGGCACTGCTGAATGTTGAGGTTCACAACCTGCAGTAAGTTGCCCGAAGCAGCGTCAATGCCGTCCACGATCTTGTACATCATTTCCTCAGCGAAATCTGGGCTCACACGGGTGGGGTTTACAGCCACCATCCCGTAGTCGGAACGCCCTTCTGCGTCACGCTTTACCGATTTCTGCATGATCATGCCACGTAGGAACACCAGGTCCATCAGGGCTTCAACTGCTAGAGCATCGGCAAAGGAGATCAGACTGGCGTACTCGCCCAGAGAGTGTCCAGCAAAGTAAGCATCATCTGAAATCAGTTGAGCAGCTTTAATCTCCGAGAACATGGCCTTTTCGAGCAGCACCAACGTAGGCTGGCTGAACTGGGTGGCGAATAGCAAACCTTCAGATGCGAAGAAATTATAGCTCTCAGTATCTTCGTCGATCTCAGGAAAAAGTGCCGCAACGTCACCCGTCACCGAGTCGGCACGAGTCAGCTTCATGTAGTTCTCTCGAATCTCGAGGCCTTTCTTACCGCCAAAGTGCACCGTAATAGACTTAGGGTTCTTCTGCACGATTTCCAGGATCGAGAAGCCAAAAGTCTCGCGTAGGTGAGAGTCACCACGGTTCCAAATGTCACGAGCGACTGAGGACTCCTGGTAGCGGTCCATGCCCATACCCACAGCAGCAGAACCCTGACCAGTGAAGACGAACGCCATTGGCGCCTGCTTGACGACAGCACGCGCGCTTACCACGCCTTCACCGGAGCTGTTCACAACCTCAACAGACAGCACCTTCTTGCCATTGTCGAGGCCGATGTGACGAGCCTGCATGAACAGCTTGTCGCCCGGGTACACCATGCCGTCGAAGTTGACGTCGTAGTCGACCACGTTGCTGTCGAAGCCCAGACCGAAGTTCTGGATCACCAGATCGCGTACCTTGGTCGCCGTCCACAGACCGTGCATGATCGGCTTGCCCTGGGGCAGGTGGCCCAGGATCGCAGCGTACTTGGAGCGATGAATCGGGTTCAGGTCGCGAGATGCCACGGCGTACGCCAGAGCGTTCGTCGGGACGTTAATCTCCAGCGGCTTCTCCAGCATGTGGGAGCCACCGTTCGAGAACATGCCTCTGGCCTTGGCATCCTCAGGCTGCATCTGGCGCAAAAAGGCCACAACAGGACTCTCGTTCGCGTCATTGCTCTTGAACTCGACTGTGCCGAGCTCCACATTCGAGCCCGCTTCGTCACGGAACAGTGTACCCGACACCTCCACGGAGCTCAGCGAGCCGATCGACGCGTACTGCTTCTTGGTCGTAAGCTCGAACGATAGGTGGTCGCCGATGTTCACCGAGGCACCATCTACTGGCTTCAGCCACGACTTGTCTTCAGGATCTCCACGTCCTCCTGGCGTTTGGGCACGAACGCGTCCGTCGACTTGTCGATTGAAAATGTCGACTTGAAGTCATCAAATGTGCCGCGGATCAGGAACTCGCTGTGCAGCTCCACGAGAGGCTCAAGCATCTCCACCATCTGATCGTCCACCGTCTTGCGAGAAATGATAGCCACGCCGTGCACGATCTTGCCGCTGTCGATGATGCGCAGACTGCCGACGTTCGACGTGCTCACGATATCGTCGCCAGGCAGGAACGTGGCCGAAGCCTTGCGCGACGACAGCAGCTTGTACGAGTGCTTCAGATGCACCAGATCTAGCAGGTTGCCCTTCACCTCCTTTGTGAACACCGACTGGATCAGCGGACGCCACGACACGATCGTCGAGAAGTCAGCCGGAGCGCCTTCTTCGTCGTCATTCAGGCCCAGAGCAGTACGGTAGTCAACAACGTCCTTCTTTGTAATGGAGAACTCAGCAGTGAAAGGAGACATGACGCTTTCCTCGCATGCAGCCTTGCACGACTCCTCTTCCTTGTCCTCAACCGCCACCCAGAAGCGAGCGTAGAACGCCTTAACCTTATCGATGAAGCCGCTGCCTTCCGCGTGGATGGAGCAGGACAGCTCCGGGTGGTACTGGAAAGCCATCTAGCGAAGTTCACCGTCTGCTTGGCAGACGCAGCCGTGGCAGCAGCAACCGCGCCGCTTTCCTTCACAACGTTTTCAAAGCCGGTGGCAATGCCGTTTAGGATATCCGCCACGGGTTCGTCCACGACAGTGCTGTAGCGAGCGGCCACGGGGCCTTGAAGGATGAAGACACGCTGGGCGTCACGTTCCGGAACGGCGTCCAAGTCCTCTGAGTACCACAGCGAGTCCTTCTTGAACCACGTCTTGAACTCCGTGTCGATCGCAGGCACAAAGTTCACGGGCTTGCCACCAGTGCGGCACAGATCCAGGAAGAAGTCACAGTCCGGAACTGACAGCAGAGTTGACACCGTCTGGGGATACTTGGTGATAAATGCCGTCACCGTCCCTCTCGGGTTCGCCTTGAGCTCCGACTGGTCGAACAGGTCACCAGAACTTTCACGACGGAATCGCTCCTCCGTACGCGTGATGAACTTGCTCACACGAGAGAAGAAGGTGTCGTGCACCCAGCGATGGGGCTTGCCTTCCACCTCCACGTACACCAAGTCGATCACACGTGTCAACACGTCACCATACGACATCTCCTCCAGATCAGCGGGTACACTCTCGCCAGTCTCCACATTGCGTTCGCAGCCGAAGTACGGCTTCTGGTAGTCGGCATTCAGACGCGTGATGATGTCCTTCTTGTTCAGACGGAGGGCCAGCTCAACCTGGTCGCGTGGGATGGAGAAGTACTTGTCGTCAAACTCCTTCCACAGCAGAGTACAGCGGTTCGCCACGACGTGGGTGGGCTCTCCCAGCTCCGACGTGACCGTGATCACGCCGCCAATCTCGCCCGTGTAGCTCGTTTCCCACTCCAGCTCGGATTCGATGCCAGGCGTGTCTACCAACAGCTTCCTGACCTCTGGTGCAGTCGCAGCTTCCTTCGCAACCATCACGCGCGAGCCCATGAGGATACCGTCTGCCGGCATCTTGAACAGGTGGCCGCGAGCTAGACTCCATTCGCCCGTAAGATACTGCTTCGAGTTCTCCCAGTTACCGAAACCAGAGCCAACAACCAGCAGCACGTTCGACACACGACGGATGGCCGCGTACGTCTCCTCCATCGGCTCGTGGAAGTCCTCGAAGCTGTGGTGGCCACCAGCACGACCGCCTGTCCACTGCAGCATCACAGTCATACTCGGCATGGCCTCAGCAATCTCCAGCACAGCGTGGATGCCGTCTACAGAACCAGGCTTTAAGCAAACCACCTTGATACCCACATCCTCCAGCTGCGACATCATCTCAAGCGCACGCTCTTTGGTCGGAATGCCGGCACCGATAGTGATACTCTCGATAGGCACACCGCTGCGACGCATACGTAGCACCATCGGGAACTGGAAGCCCCACTGCTTCGCGTTCAGGTACAGCATGATAATCGCAATACCGAGACCGGGTTTGATCTTTGACACGAGCTCGTTCACTGCGTCCTCGAAGATGTTGGGACGCGACAGGCCACCCGCAGCCAGTTCACCGTGGAAACCAGCATTCTGGATGTCCGCAACAAGGTCGATGCCCTCTAAACTGGTGGTCGGCGTCATACCGGCCACCATAACAGGCGGCTTGTTCAGCGCGCGCGTGAATCTGTTGACCAGCTTGCCCGATTCGGTCACTTGCGGGCCAAACTTCTCCACCCACGTAGCCTCGACGGACGTGAACGTCGGTGCAGCATCGATGAACTGCTGCAGACCGACAAGGGGAGCAGACGTCGTCGAGGAGCTCATAACCGGGTGCTTGGCAGTCGCGATGACCAATTCGATGCCCAGGCCTTCTGCAGCCTTGTCGCTCAGCTTGGCTACGCCAAGATCGGGGCCGAACTCCAGAATGTGCGTAGCGTTTGAGTGGTGCTCAGCGATCTTTGCCCATGTCGCCGTCCAGTCCACCAGCTCCAGTAGCTGCATGTTAATTAGTTCATCGACCACGTCGTCCACCGTCTGGAGGTTGGTGGCTTTCGTGTTGGTAGCATACACGGGCACCTGCAGTTGACTGCCCTTAATCACGCACTTGACTCGTTGCACGTCCTGCAACAGCTTTGGCTTGGCCTCGGTCAGCAGTGGTGTGTGGAATGGAGCCGAGAGCGGCAAGAATGACAGCGAACCCGTGGGTTTCCGCTGTGAGTGAGGGATGCGGGTCTGGTTGGCGTCCGGCTTGGCGAACAGACCCTCAAGGGCCTGCTTCAACAGAGTCAGCGTTGCTGGGAAGCCCGTCACGTTCATCATGTCGGATGCGTTGATAAGAGAGAGATGTAGGTCGGGTGATTTGGTGCGGCGCTTGGCGACCTCGATGGACTTGAGAACGTGCTCCTTCTTGAGCCCGCGTACGGCCAGCATAGGACCGGCGTTCTCGACATTCTTGCCATTCTGCTTGTATTGCGTCAGCTGGTGCTGGTATGTCTCCTGCGCGCGGAGTCCCTGCCAGAACATGTAGCGCAGCACGGAGACGCCGATATCTACGAGCTCTTGAGCTGTTTTAGCCGCCGAGAAGATGACGGCGCTCACTACGCCCTGACTGTGGCCCACGGCGGTGGCGGAGTTCTTGACCATGATCTCGTGGGTCAGTCCCGTAGTTTCAAGGAAGTTAAGATAGTTAGCGCACTGCGTCAATGCCAGCAGCGGCATACTAAAGAAGACGCGGCTCATCGTCAAGCCCGAAGGAGTGTCTCCATCCTGCAGCCAGCTATGCAGGTCAATGACCGCTTCGAAGGCGACGGAGGCCTTTGCCTCATCCGAGCTGGACTCCTCCAGTAGCGTCGACAAATGCGCGCGTGATGCTTGTCTTGGATGCAGTGTAAAGTCTCTGGAGCTCCTTCCAGTAGACGGTTCCTTGACCTCCGAACTCAGGGATGAATGTAAACTTGCCGGTATTCACTGCGACCGCAATTTCAGTGGACGATGTATTGGTTGTAGTCATTGGGACGTCGCTTAGGGTCGTAGTAGTGGTCACCACCCTGCGTGTACGCCCTTTGGTCGTGGTGGTGATGACTGTACGTTGCCGTTGACTTGCGTTGGCAGTGCTCGGCATGATAGAGATAGACGGGGTCTTGATGGAGTTTAGATCCGTCGATGCAGTGCCGGCGGCAGATTTGATTGTGATGTCTTGGCGCTGCTGAGCTTCAACGGCTGCGCCTGACAACTTGGTCATCGACCGCGGCTCGTCTTCCCGTGTATTCTTCATTTAAATGACGCGAGTATTGTTGGCCCGCTACATTGGCCCCGAGGTTCACTTGTACACACGCACGGTGAGAGAAAACTGCGTACACGCAAGCGGGATCGCCCGAGTGGAGGGTCACAAGGGTCTTGTGCTGCGCCCTGTCTTGTGACAAGACAGGGCGCAGCGATTGCTTAGGTATCAGAGAGGAGCTTCAGTACGTGCTGCTGACCAGCAATAGCGCCGCATTGTCGATTGTAAGAATCTTCTGAGCGCGGGATCTCTAAAGGGACCCATGACGCCCGTGGCATGCATGGCGTGGTAGTGTTGGCCGGACAGATGTTGGTACCGGTAATTAGACCGCTGTCGACAGTTTTGATCTGAGAATTTCATGATGAATTTGTGGCGCTCAAACACAAAATTCTTTGATAAATAAAGAAAATTTAGTTGTGTTCTTGAAAGCTTAGTTGATGTTGAGCGCCACCGCAGCAAGTTACCTACCATTTTTCACCTCCGCTCTGCACGCGAAGTGGTCGCTGCAGTACTTGCACGGTAGGCTCGTGACCTGTGTGTCGAATGTTTTAGTCATCAAGCCCACGACGAATAAAGGCGATGCTGTGACCGAAGTTGATAATGACACATACACTTTTCTCCTTGGCAGTCTGTCTGCGTCGTGCAACGCCACCAAGAGCAGGGTTGTCTCTAAGTTTTAGGTATTGGGTATTTTTGCAACCCACGTTCTCGGAAGGCAGCAGCAACAGGAAAAAATGAAAGCCTTATAGAAAGAAAATGATGTGTAAAGATTAGACTACTCACATTGAAAGAGTTGTCGCGGTAATCCTCCTTAAGTCGGGTTCGTGTATCTAGCAGGCCGACCTAGGAGCTGAGGATAATCACGTGTTGTTATATTCTTGAGCACTTCTCTTTTAAGAAGGAAAATCACGACTGAGCTTCTACCTAAAGCTCCAAACTGGGCGCTAAACTCCTTACCTTTCCGTAAACCACTCCCACGTGGAGGTCCAACGTAGATTCCCACCCTTGCCGACCGCCAGGCGTTCTACTCTAAGCTTGGAACGCTGTAGTTTGTGTCAGAGGGCACAGATGCTTGGACGTGGCCTGCGACTTCTGCAGCAAGCAGATCTTCCTGACGCAGTCCGAGAGAATGGCGAGTCCACCCTCTAGCTGGGTACCCTGACACACGGTGAAGGTCACAGAACAAGGGATGAACGCGAGGAGTACGAGAACGAGCTTGAGGAGCGACTGTACTCCGTGGATAAACAGGGGGGTCTGCTGCAAGCGATACAGAACACCGAGGAACAGGTAACGCCGACTCTTGCGGTGCAAGGAATCCCAGAGGAAGTACGCAAAAATTCTCGTCAGGAGAGCTCAGAACGCCTGAGTATTGGCTGGATTGATATGATCGGAAGCTGGAGGCTTCTACGGGTACAAAAGAAGCTAATCGATACTTCAAGGAGATTAGTAAGACAACGGAACGGCTGCCGCCTGTGGTTAGTGTGGTCTCCGAAAAGGTGGATGCAGGCGCGAGCTTACAAGAAGCGGCAGAGGAAGCCGAAGAATGCGAGTTTGAACGGAATGTGTGTGTAGGACTCGACGATCCTGTCGTTCCGACCGCTTGGGCTCCCGACAAGAAAGTTGGAGCGCTTCCGTTCCGATGGCATTCCAGTATAAGGAGTCGAGTGTACGAGGCCTTGCCGAGTCTCCTTGCCCGACACGAGTGTTACGGTACTGCCGGCGACACAGGGGTAGGACCCCCCCCCACACACACACACCCGGAGGCGCTCCAATTTGAACAGGACTTGCGCTCTCGACCTGGGAAAGCGTTCCTTTATCCTTCATTCCCCGCAAGCGCTCCACGCTGACTCGCATCGCTTTTCGCGGCGTCCGATTTGTCCAGCGAGCCCTTCTTATCCCTGCTTGGTCCTCACACTTGGTCCTCTTTCCTTACAAACACGAAGCCCCCAGTAGCTGCGAATTAGATGGCTGTAGCAGCCGGCCATCAACAGAGAGGCATACCAGCTGCAGCACCACGTAGAAAACTCCATGAAAACGTCCACAATCAGCACTACCAGGGCCACTCCCATCCAGCCATGGAGCCCTCTTTGGTACCTTCACACACTAGCCGCGGCACATAGATCATGATGGACAGCAACCGCGTCGTCAACCGATATCCGCCTACAACGATGTCACCCACCTTGTCAGTGACAGCAGCCGTAGTCTCCCTCGTAGCACGAGCATATCACCCGGTAGTCGTTCACAGTAGCCGCACCACTTCAAGCAGAGGCGTCCCGCCATCTAAAAGCGTACCTTGAAGCCCCCTAGCACTGCCATTGGAATCAGGAAATCTAGAGCCGACAGGGATGTCCTGAGCTCATAGGGAGGCGAGAGCGTACACATCGCGGGAAGCTCCAACGAACCGGTCGCCACACGTGTAGAAGAAGAAATAGACCGCTTGAACGTTATGTCCTAGGCCAGCCAGGAACGCCCACGAGACGTTCCGCAACGGCATAGCTACCACCCGCATTACGACGCCAATCACAGCACTACCCACAAGTCTCAGCCCGACACCATCCATGGTCGTCGTTAGCCGGGCCGTCACCTCCAGCCATGTAGCCTAGCTGCTCATCTGTCCTGACGATCTTCAAGTGGCCACCACATTCTCTGAAAGGCCGGCCGCTCCATTCTGGGTCACTTTCCATCAGACCGTTCCTTTCTTGACGTCACTTCCCAGGGACACAACCCGCACGTACTCTGGCGGCAGCCATCAAGCTGAAATTCCACTTCTGAAATCCAATCTTCCTCCTAGGCAGCACCTCTCTCTCTTCGACATCTCTCTCCATCGTTATGACGTCGCGGTTCGCGTCCGCGGAGCGGAAGAAGGTTCGCCAGTATCTCGACGCGGCCCTCGCGCATGACGAGCTTGGTACACCCGGTAGTGACGCCCGGGCTCTCAACAAGGCGTTCCTCAGCCTGATCGCGCGTCTCGGCGGTAATCCGCCGTCGTCGAGCCAGGAGCACCTGCATCAAGTGGCACAGGACGTCCTCGACCGGGGTCCGACGGTCACCCTCCGGGATCCCGTGGTAATTCTACCTTTCCTATCGAGCTCACAGGCCTCCAGTAGTGCTTCAGCCTTGCCCGAGTCCAAAAAGAGCTTCTATCGCAAGACGCGCGAGGACTCGGTAACCAGGTCGCCAGCCAAGAAGAGCCGTTCTTCCGATAGGGGCAAGAAGGCGTCTCGAGCTGCAGCTGAAGCCTTCAGCAACCTCCTCGAGTTGAGCACGAAGGCTCCCGCTTCCGTACGCAAGGCGATCCTAGCCGTTCTGGCCAAGGCAGCCGATGCGGGCAAGAAGCCGTGGTGCTTACTGTTCCCCTGGTCGGGTCGGACACTTTTCTACGACCCCCCAAAAAACGTCACATGCTTCGCGCCCACTGGCGGTTCTGGATGGCGAATCGTCGCATCTTCTGGGGGTGGGCGCTCCATGCCCCACTTCAACCCGGAACGGCTCAGTCGAATCGCCGAAAACTCAAGATGTGCGCCATCCAAGCTCGGTTCGCGTTCACCAGCACCTGCATCGAGACTTGGGGTCTGTAAACCTTCCTGAAGAAGTTGGACAAGCACCCCGAGATGTTCTGGCAAGGAGGGCAACCCGGTCGCTATATCCGCAAAGCCCGCAAGTATGACGAACCCGTTGCGGCCGACTTAGCCGTTCTTTGAGAGCAGGACCGGAAACGGTACGATTCCACTCTCGATAACGCTTTGGATCCAGATAAGGTAGACGCCTACGGGTACCCAAGCATGCGCGTCTTCCTCGAGTCCACCGACGCGTTGAATCCGGCCGCTGACGAGAAGAACAGGCTCTCGATCGCGGCGTTGGCTTGCATTTGCAAGAACATCATCATGTCCAGCGTTAAGGCCAATGATACGTGGGTCGGAAATCGAACGGCAGACCCATGGAAGGCGATCGTGAACAGCTACAAGGTCAAGCAGGTCCAAGATTTATTAACGGCCCAGACCATCGAGGGTTCTTACACGCTACCTTGCGTGAGCGCGCCGACTCGAGCGGAGATCAAGCAAGAAGACTGGTCTGACTTCGAGGGCGGCGATGAAGAGGGCGATGAAGCGAGCCCACCAGTCCCCGCGGATGACAAGTAGGCTCCGGAGGAAGAGGTCGACGAGGAGGAAGACGAAGAAGAGGACGCCTCAGGCGAAGACGATGCTGAAGACGACGAGGACAATGACGACGAAAAGGAGTTTTCCAGCAAGTAGTCCCACGGCGTTCCGACTCGCACCTTTAGTGCCGTTCCATCTTTAATACTTATTGTAGCGCTCCCCTTTGAAGTCTCACCCACGCTCCATGAACGCCTCTCGTCGCATCACCTTAGTCCCTCATCCGTTCTCGTATCACCTCCTCCTCGTTACCGATAGCATATTATCTCCCGACGACGTAAAATAGTAGGCGCTCTCCCCGACTTGGCCGACGGCCTGGTACGGGCCGTGCCAGGAGAACGCCAATTTCTTGGTCCGGCGTTCCCCAGCTCGCGCTCGGAAGAACTGATACACCCAAACAGTATCCCCCTCGACATAAGACACCTTCACTTGCTCGCCAAGCCGTTGTTCGTGTCGGTCCTGAGCCTTGAGCAGTTGTCTTTCCACGAGGCGACGTGAGTCTCGCATTGAATGATAGAGTTTCCTTCGATACATTGCAGCTTCATTACTCTTCAAATTCTTGCCTGTGCTCAGGAACACCACGTCGATTGGTAATACTGGGTCACGCCCATACAAGCTGAAGAACGGCGTGTCTCCGAGTTCTCCGAGGTAAGCCGTTCTTTAGGCGAAAAGTGCTCGAGGCAGGTACACGTCCCAATCAGTCTGCGTCTCGTTCACGAACATCCTTAACATCTCCATCAACGCTCCATGAAGCGCTCCACGAGGTCCTGTGTTTGCGGGTGGTATGCAGCGCCGTACAATTTCTTAATGCCCAGCGTCTGGTACAGCGACTTGGCCAAC